ATATATATATATATAGTTTTTACGTAATATCGCTTCAATACTTACATATTCCATTTGCCAGTTGTGTACGGCGTCAAGTTACAACGCACAACCGTTGATTAAGTGCACAATGAGACCTGCCAGGGACTCCAGACTGGCCTTCGGGATGATTCTGAGTCAACAATAATTAACCACTAGACACCTTGCCACCTAGCTATAGCTTCCTTACAGGCCTTCCCCTTCGAAAGCCGAATCCACCGTGACTACTAGTATTACTTGCATGTACAAGTACAAGCACTGCGGATCAGTTACGGCGTATATTCCCACAGCACAGTATAAAGTATATTTAAATTCAAACATAAATACTCAATAGATTAAACATTTATTAATCCCTGACAACATTGTTACATTGAAACAACACTGACATAATGGCTGACCTTGACCCTGACGTTTTTAATATACGAGGGGAATTCTGAACATCACAAAAATCAAAATTACATCAGTCTACTGTGATTGATTTTATACAGAAAATATGGAAAATTACAGAAAAAAACATTTGTAGGTCTTATCACTGTACCAGTAGAGATAAACATTTTAAAATCACAACATGAAAATAAACATTTTCAACATTCATTTTCAACAAAATTACATTCTGCTGTATGCTTTTTTATACAGAAAATACGGTAAATTACTGCGAACACATCAATTCTTATCGCTATACTAGCGCAGTTGAACACTGTACAGTAACTGGCCTTACGATAAACATTTTCAAGATAGAGGCGGTCAAAATCCATTTCCTCAGTATATACAAGTGTCTATGGAATAACATTTTCATGCTCATTTTACTAGAAAAGACTTCCTAAGGAGGTCTTCAGCTTTACCTTTTGGTAAATCTCGCCAACTGACTGCCATTCAAACGCTTTTCCCTGCTTTTTCCTGTTGAGTATGCTTATCAGTTTACATCAATCCAACAGTAGCTTGGGGCCAATTGGATGAGATGGAAATAGACTAATTTGTATGCCTTACAAGTTACCGTATCCGGATCCACCGGCCTATGATCATATGAGAGCTTTGATGTAAAGTCGTAGGCAAGCGACTTAGAATACTTCTATATTTAAAGTCATTCCAACGGCTTGGATAAACACATCTGATAGAGAACGTACTGGTATTTTCAACACAACAATGGTAGCTGTGCATATCACATCAACCTCGGTCAGATAGATTGACATTATACTCGTACATGCAACGTACAAATATAAGATGATATATGTTCAAGCAACAACAAAGAACGTGATATTTAATACATTGTACCATTAATATCATCGGGTAACTACAGCAATTATATGGCTAAGCTGAATGCCTTGGCCAAAATCAATTCTATCCTGGTTGATAAGGACATATTCAGTCCAGAAGTCAAATTCGATCCAGCTATTGTTTCTTTTTCCGTTCAAGTCCACCGTTTAAAGTCAACAGAAGCTACGTACCTTCTGGATCACAGTCTTTATACTCGACACGGTTCAAACCATGCTCTCATGCCATGCCATCTTTGGGACGCGTTTTCTCGTGATTACCGTCTCATTTTTGCCACAGACATCGATGACGTTCTCGTCTTTCTGGCTTTTTGGTTCTGGTGCAAAAGTTTCCACTGTCATCTGTTGACCGTGTTGAGGAGGGGCTGATTTCGGCAGACCGCTGCGTCCAGGAGGTGGTGTTGGGTTGAGATGTACGTCCGCCTGTACGGTCAGTACGGCCGGTCGGTTGGGTCGGGTCATCTCGTCTTCACAGTGGTCAGGAAGAGGTGCTCCTTTGTCGAGTACCTCTGTCTGCTGGCCATGTGTCTCTGCCTGTGTTAGGTCTGGACTGGGAGGTGGTGCCTGTTCTCCGTTTTCCTGTTGAGAAGGTGATGCTGCCGTGAGCGCTTCGTCCGATGTCTCTTCATCATGGTGGACCGAATCACGCGGAAAGTTGATAACGGCCACGCCCTGCCCTCGGTGTACAGGTGGTGGTGGTGGTGGTACCAAAGGTATGTTGTTACTGTTAGACAAGCCGCACAACTCCCTCAGAGCTCGTCGGAACTCTGGCTGCCTGAAGCTGTAGATGATGGGGTTTACCATCGATGATACCGTCAGGAAGATCCGATTGGCCACTACGACTGTTATGAGCCGAGAAGTTGATACCTTCTCTCCACCACTGAGCACAGCCCGACCCGAGGCAACCAGAAATAGGTAGGATGCCACAGACACAGCTAAGACAACGATATGTGGTGCCAGTTTTCTGAAGGCCTTGATCTGGCAAAGCCACAAGTGACGCTGCTCATCCCTCTCCTGCTGTTTCCTGGCTTCCTTGTAGACAATGTAGTAGATTATGAGGATGGCCAAGACGGCAAGCACTACGGAAAGTCCGCAAATGTTTCTGAAGATGGCGGCCGGGCTGGTGCTGTTGAAAGGCTCTGGTTGACATAGCAGATTGTCGTCGACGTTCTGCAATCGCTTGATTACTGTAGGCCCGACCCCAAAGAACAAGGCGAAGGCTCTGACAGAAACTATCCCGATGAAGACGCGCTTTGTAGTGACGTTTGTACCGTAGTGCAGCGGATGACATATGAAGTGGTACAGCTCTATTGCCATGAGGAGGTACGTACCAAACATTGACACTGTTGACATTGGGACCACCAACGGTTCGACACACGTCAAATGTCGGCTGATACTGACGTAATCGCTGAAAAGCCAATAGATCGCCGAGGGAATCATGCATCCTGTGAAGATGATGTCTTCTAGCGCCAGGTTACACCGTAGGTAGTGACGGGGCTTCCGTAGAAGCTCTGTTTTCCAGACCAAGAAAATGAGAAGTATGTTGCAAACTGTAGCGATGACCAGACTGATAACGAGGTATGCTGTCTGGAGACCACGAGACAGTGGGGTGTTAGATATGATTTCATGTATCTCACCCACATTGAGCAAAAAATTGTTCGAATCCATCTCCATATTTTACAACGACGAGCCTGCAGAATACATCTACCGCTCCTCCCTTGAGTGAGCTCGAGGCTCCTTTGACGAAGCTTTAAAGATGACATCATAGTTAACCCTCCGATCTGCTAGTTTACTGGTGTGTCTCCATGGTCACTATGATACGTTAGATTGAATTTCCGTTGTTGATTGAAACTGTAAGCCTTAGCTTTTGGCCGTTTTTTGTATTTGTCAAAGAAAGCAATCAAAGAAGCTTCATAAGAATCGGCACACCATCAAATGAACTCCTCATATTCTCCCTGAACATCACAAACGAAGCTGTATTCATGTAATGAGCTGTATTGTGATGCCCAGTAGGGAGGAATACGACGAGTTTCTTAGATGAGAAAATTCTGTTGAAGCTTCGTTTACTGGTTTCGTTGTAAAGGTACAATTACACAAACGGCGAGACAGCTTTGACATGAGATGGAACCTTTGTTAAGACAACATCTTAGATAATTTTGTGTATTTCCGAATAGTCTATTGGAAACTATACCATGGTATTCTACTCCAAAAGCCAAGCTCCATTCTTTGTAGAGCAACTTTTACACATGCAGGAATTTGTTTTAACTTCATAGCCAGGCGGAGTGAGTAATGATTCGTTTGCTAAATAAGTTTATTTCTTAATAATGACTACGAATATCTATTTTATCATTGATTATTGGAATTACTCTGAATCCGATGGTAAAATTTTTTGCTTTCTTTATAGATAGTGGGATATATTTAAATCATGACACCCTCTCACACAACTCTTCGGCTAAGAAGACTTCCACAAACGAACTTCGAAGTCCATCCATGCTACTTCGTGTTTATATAATTTTTTATAGTTTATAGGTTTAATAGTTTTCTGCCAGAAGTGCGACCTTCTTGCACGGCTCACACATAACACAGGGTCTGTCAGTTATCAGCCAAGGCTGATAAATCACTACCATTATTACTGATTTATTCACGCTCCTAGACCTGTTATGTTGACCAGTAGTTTGATAACTGGAGTTCGGTAACATTCCAAAATCCTTTCTATTCTGGTTGATAATGAGACATTCAGTCCAGAAAAATTCTAATTATTCATTTTTCTACAGGTCCAACGTTAACAGTCTACGTACGTACCCTCTTGATCACGGGCTTGAAAGTTGTACACAGTTCAGACTTTGCTCTCATGGCAGTCATGCCATGCCAACTTTCGGACGCGTTCTCTCGTGATTACCGTCTCTTTTTTGCCACAGACATCGATGACGTCCTCGTCTTTCTGGCTTTTTGGTTCTGGTGGAAAAGTTTCGACTGTCATCTTTCGACCGTGTTGTTGAGGAGGGGCTGATTTCGGCAGACCGCTGCGTTCAGCCGTAGTAGGTGGTGTTGGGTTGAGATGTACGTCCGCCTGTACGGTCAGTACGGCCTCTGCTTCACAGTGGCCAGGTGCTCGTTCGTCGTGTACCTCTGTCTGCTGGCCACGCGTCTTTGCTTGTGTTAGGTCTGGACTGAGAGGTGGTGCCTGTTCTCCATGCTCTGCCTGTTGTCCTTCTGTCTCTGCCTGTATTTGGTCTGGACTGGAAGGTGGTGCCTGTTCTCCATGCTGTCCGTTTGCATTTTGAGAAAGTGATGCTGCCGTGAGCGCTTCGTCTGATGTCTCTTCATCATGGTGGACCGGAAAGTTGATAACGGCCACGCCCTGCCCTCGGTGTACAGGTGGTGGTGGTGGTGGTACCAAAGGTATGTTGTTACTGTTAGACAAGCCGCACAACTCCCTCAGAGCTCGTCGGAACTCTGGCTGCCTGAAGCTGTAGATGATGGGGTTTACCATCGATGATACCGTCAGGAAGATCCGATTGGCCACTACGACTGTTATGAGCCGAGAAGTTGATACCTTCTCTCCACCATTGAGCACAGCCCGACCCGAGGCAACCAGGAATAGGTAGGATGCCACAGACACAGCTAAGACAACGATATGTGGTGCCAGTTTTCTGAAGGCTTTGATCTGGCAAAGCCACAAGTGACGCTGCTCATCCCTCTCTTGTTGTTTCCTGGCTTCCTTGTAGACAATGTAGTAGATTATGAGGATGGCCAAGACGGCAAACACTACGGAAAGTCCGCAAATGTTTCTGAAGATGGCGGCCGGGTTGGTGCTGTTGAAAGGCTCTAGCTGACATAGTAGGCTGTCGTCGGAGTTCTGCAATCGTTTGATAACCGTAGGCCCGACCCCAAAGAACAAGGCGAAGGCTCTGACAGAAACTATCCCGATGAAGACGCGCTTTGTAGTGACGTTAGTACCGTAGTGCAGCGGATGACATATGAAGTAGTACAGCTCTATTGCCATGAGGAGGTACGTACCAAACATTGACACTGTTGACATTGGGACCACCAACGGTTCGACACACGTCAAATGTCGGCTGATACTGACGTAATCGCTGAAAAGGAGATAGATCACCGACGGAATCATGCATCCTGTGAAGATGATGTCTTCCAGCGCCAGGTTACACCGTAGGTAGTGACGGGGTTTCCGTAGAAGCTCTGTTTTCCAGACCAAGAAAATGAGAAGTAAGTTGCATCCTGCGGCGATGACCAGACTGATAACGAGGTATGCTGTTTGGAGACCACGAGACAGTGGGGTGTTAGATATGATTTCATGTATCTCACCCAAATTATGGGAAAAATTGGACTGAGGACAGTAACATTCACAATCCCTCCTCTGAATGTGGCAGTATTAGTAAGGCGCGACGATGACATTTTTTTTTCGTGGGATACATGGTCCCATGGTTACCACGAAACGTTGAGGTCAGCTTTCCGTGGGTGGAAAAAAGGTCTTGCGACTGCCTTTGTTACGTGTGATTGCTGTATTAAGCAAATCGAAAAGTCTTAATGAAGCTTAATTCTTTTGAGGCCAGGCTTTTTTTCAAATTCAGAGTGTTTTAATTCACGTGCTGATAGGGGTAACTGTTAGCCTGGGTTCCATCCTGGTTAGTTTACGTCCGCTCCTACAGTAGCGACTGTAGGAGCGGACGTAAACTAACCAGGATGGAACCCAGGCTAGGTAACTGTTTCATTTTAACAGATAAGTTTATATTTCTTTTTACGATTACTCGTGTTGGAAATATGTTATTACCTTCGTCAAGAAGGTTATATTTTCGGTAGTGTTTGTCTGTCTGCCTGTTTGTCTGTCTGTCTGTGAACAGCATAACTCAAGAAGCTGGATATGCATTGTCATGAAACTTCGTAGGTGTGTAGGTCTTGATGAGACCTAGAAATGATGAGATTTTGCCCTCCCTGACGGGTTTTGTTGGTACTGCAGCAGAACTTCTGGTTTTGATATCTCATGATCTGGACATGCTAGGGTCACGAATTTTGGTTGGTTGATAGCTCTTGGGGTAGGAAAGAAGTGACATGAGTTTGGGCTCCCTATCAGCTTGTTCTGGAACTGCAGGAGCGTTTGTTGAACTCAAGAACTGGTTGACGGATTGTCGTGATTTTTGGTATGTAGGTAGCTGAAGTGATGCTTGACATAATCAGATGGCAATTATGCAAATCAAGAGCTAATTTGCATAATTAATGAGGAAATTCTATAAATCTGCTTCGTTCGATAGGACTATGAAACACTTGTGACATGATCTGAGGATAGAAATTATAAAATTAATGAGAACCTGTTATAATTGTATAGTTGTAATTGCTGTGAATTTTATACTTGCCGCATTTGGGAGTTAAGTGAAGGTGAACATCAATAAAGATAATTATGAGGAAGTGCTAGAATAGCCTTCTTCAGATAAGGCTGGCATTGGGTGGAGAATATCATAACTGATGTAATCCATGCAAATGAGGCTCTTATTTGCGAAATCAATGACTAAAATTGTATAATTCGTCGACCGGAAGTTTAAACATCATTTGGCGCAGGTATGAGGTCGTGTCCTTTTTACACGGACAGTAGTATGAATCATGTCACTATTTCACACAACTTTGAAAACTTTAACATATGACATTCTGTGAGTTTACGAGCGTCCACCAATGCTATAACCCATTTTCAACCGTATATAAAACGTTTGATTGTTTTCTGTCAGATGTGCCACATGTATTCATAACGGACGCATGACAGAGGCTCCTACTAGCGTCCTTACCTGAAAATGCACCATCAGAATCGTCTGTGCGGTTGTAGTAGAAATATGGTGGGGGGGGGGGCGCTTTGGTGCGGCTGAATAAGAGACTTGGACAGCTTTAAATTCTTCTTCCTTTCTTCCCTTTCGCCCCCACCCATTCTCTTTCTCTTCTGTCTCTCTATCTACGACTTTCTTCTCTGTATCTTGATATCTCTACTTCTACCTCCATGATCTTTCATGATAAGTAGAGGCTATAATTAAAGAATGATATATCGATGTCTTTTCTTTTTCAAATTGTCTATTTTATTTATTTTTTTTATTGCATATAGAATATCTCCTTATAAAGAGATATCACGGGTAATAACATATCATCGTTGGTGCTCCCCATATTTTTCACCTAGCTGCAGGAATTGAATTCTTCCGGTCAAAGACAACAGTGACCTTGCAAAGACGACGGGTCGCGCAGGGTGCTCCACTTGTGTTACGACTATCTTAAGATCCGTTCTGTAGCCCAGGCGGCTGGGTATATGCCACTCGTCCGTTTGTATAATACTGACAAGACCACTGTGTTTGAAAGCAGCTTCTCCTCGATCCGTTAAATAACGAACATGGGCCACGGTAAACAACACCGGCCCGGTGTGTATTTTTTCGAGATCTTCAATTGAATAAACTTTTATGTTTTACCAAGGAGATTATAGAGGTAAACCGCCTTGGTTTGACAGTTCGTTAACTTCAAAACATGAGAGAGAAAAAGCACTCGATCTGACCAAGGCGCTCCTTAACTTCTGACCTAGTAATGTTACTATTTATAGGCGACTCATTGACAACAAATATGACCAGTGATGCAAAATAAATCACTTGTTATTTCATTTATTAGAAACCGTCTGGGCGGAACCACATGTCGAATCGCAATTCAACATTACATATCTTCAATATCTTTTTGCACAAAGATAAAAAATATCAAAGTTATCAATTGTAAATTATTTGAGAAGGGTCTCTCATCGTCTCACGCCTCTTTTTCTTTCAAGAAGAATACTAGGGTGTAATTCCCAGATTTGAAAACTCTTGCAAAAAATTTCACTAGAAAAGCACCTGATGTGTGTGTGGGTTATGTTTACGGAAGTAAACAGAGCATACAGAGGAGATGTCAAGGCAGCTAAGCCTTTGTAAACATTTCATTATTGAGTTTATAAACGTCCAGGGCCTGACTGGGTCGGACCCCGCAGACCCGGCGTCACGGATGTACAGTAGTCCGTTCATAACACGGCTGGCACATTTCAAGCCATTGCTTTCCGTTTGGTTTGAAAATTATATCATTCTTACAGCGTTGAAAATTATATTATTCTTACAGCAGCAACTTAACTGCAGAGAGCATTATTCTTAGAGCAGCAAAGTTAGTAGTGAAAGCATGGCGAGACATTTGGCATTGTTCTTCGAAACTGTGTCTGAGAATATTTAAAAATAAAGTTTCAAAACTACTAGTACACATGTATTACTAGTAAGGTGGGGCCTTACGTTGCTAATATTACACAATTTCGTCCAAATTTTTTCGTCCAAATTGTGTTAAAAAGGAGCTTGATGTTTAGCCTCCTTGCAATGAGCTTAAAATTTCATTTATGCCTCCTTAAGCTTGGTGTAACAACCGGAGTCTATCGACATCGAGAACGACGAGAAATGAGAAATGCTTTCCAGCCGCCGTAATTTATTCGCCGGTATTCCAGTCACATTGTTCACGCACTGGTAATTGTCAACCGCTACGGGGACCAGGCGACCTCGGGTTCACCGATGTGCCACTCCAAGCAAAGTCAGTTTGGTCGCCGTGCAGTATTGCAAAATTCCATCGCGTATTGCCCGACATACGGTGACATAGCCTCTACCAGGCTTCGAGAGGCGACTGGAAAGAGTAGAACTTGATTGGCCAAATTATAGTGATATGACTTAAGAAAGTACTTGGATGCGGCAAACTGTACTCTCCATTGGACGAACTCCCAGGTATATGTTATCTCTCTATTTGGCCAATTTTTACTCCTTCAAGCCGCCTCTCGAAGCCTGGTAGAGGCTAGCGATGACATACTTGTACCGCTTTCAAGCATATACTTAAAGAATTGCTTCTTTCTTAGGTCTAAGAAAACAAAACAAAAGCGGAAATGAACTAAGCGAAAGTGAATAAAACAAAGAAAACACAAATAAACACATTGACGATACGGAACTACATTTGTTTTGCTTTGCTTTGCTTTGTAAAAATATCGAATCTATTTTCGGACAACAGGTGATCAAGAAAAAAGATCTGTCTGACCTACATAAATGACACCGGAACATTCTTAGTGTTTAATCAAAATACAAATCGAGTGAATTGTTTTGCTGATGACTTCTCCGGTATGGTACAAATTGGTCCAAATAGAAATTCAAAATCACAAATCGCTGACGAACAAATTTTTAGTGAAACAGATAAAGAACCATTTAGATGTCCCCCGGGACAGTCATGCCACTTCCATATATGGTAGAGGCAGAACTTGTAGAACCACTCTTTTTGCAATTAAAGTAGCTTCTTCCAAATATGGGCATGTTCCTCGGGGATGTCCTCATTATTCATCAACCTTAAGACAATTCTTCACGCCATAAAGGAATAGTCTAACCTGTCATCAAGAGCGATCAATTTTACAGGCACGCGGATTTTCCGAGCTTTTCGCACGCATGTGTTATCTAAACTAAAACGGAATTGACGGGAAGCACAGCAAAGAACGCCGTCACGCCAGGTGTTTTGAGACGGTTGTCTCTCTCATCTCCACCGCCCTGGGCACTTTTGTCGCCATTTTGGACAGTTTAGTGTCTCTCCGTCCCGTGATTCCACGTCACAAACATCCTTGTTATTGTTCAAACCTGAGTAACCGGCAACGATCCGCCCTACGTCACCGGCTTTTTCCACTCCCATAGGGGAAGGTTTTATATTAAGGGTCGCGGGCGGTTGTGATCCCAGTTTGATAGTTGGGACCGCGACCGAACACACACAGACGTCACCCCGCTCCCAGGAACCACCATGCCGGTGAGCCGTCTCTACGGTCAGGAAAACAGAAAAACGGCAGGACATAAGCTCGCGCGAACCGACAGCGAGGAGGAACTGTCTGCCCTGTCAGACAGGAACTACAACCCGCGTTCCTCGGGCGCCATCTTAGGTGGGGTGCCGGGCAAGCGAGCCCGATTCCGGTCCCCCGGCTCCACCATGCAAGCCAACGGGACAGCCGCGGGAGGGGAGGACATGGCTGCCCGCCGACGGGCCTTGATGGCCGTCAAGATGGCCAACACGTTCATGAACTGTAAAAATTACGAGAAGGCCCTGAAGCACTGGACCGACGCGGTCGAGGCGTGCCCCACCTGTCCAGACTACCTGGCGGGGAGGGCCGGTTGTAACATCATGCTCGGCAAGTACGACGACGCCATTATGGACGCGGTCCAAGCCACCGACTTCGCCCCGGACTGTGTGGACGCGTACTGCAGCCACGGGGAGTGCTTACTCGCCCTTGGACGACCTAAAGAAGCCACGGAAGTTTACACCAAAGCCCAGATGCTGGAGCCGAAAAACCAGGCCATTTCCAGTGACCTCCGGGTCGCCAAGGACCTGATTCATTTGCAGTCTTTCGCCGAGCGTGACATGGAGAAAGGGGACTACAGGCGGGTGTTGTTTTACATGGACAAAGCTATCAAGCAGGTCCCTCAGTGTGCTAAATACAGGGTGTACAAGGGAGAGAGCATGGTCATGATGCGGAACTATAACGAAGCACACGAAGTACTGAGCGAGGTTCTGGAGTACCAACCCCAGAACGTAGACGCTCTGTACGCCATGGGGCTGTGTCTATACTACCAGGGGAACATTGACGACGCCTTCGTACACTTTGAACAAGTGTTGGACATTTCTCCCGACCACGAGAAGACCAACGCTGCGCTAGAAAAAGCCCAGGCGCTTGCCACCAAGAAAGAAGAAGGTAACGATGCCTTCAAGGCAAACAAATACGAGGAGGCGTTCGACAGGTACACGGAGGCGCTCGCCATTGACCCACTAATCGATTTGACGAACTCAAAACTGTACTACAACCGAGCCGTGGTCTGTGTCAAAATGAACAAACTGGTACAGGCCATTGAGGACTGCACAAATGCCATCAAACTGGATGAATCATACACAAAAGCCTACCTCCGGAGGGCCAAGTGTTACATGGAGATGGAACAATTCGAACAGGCTGTTTCAGACTACGAAAGAGTATGCGATCAAGACAGAACGCCGGAACACCTGCAGTTCCTTCAAGAGGCGAAGAAGGCGCTGAAGAGAAGTACGTCCAGGGACTATTATCAAATCCGTGGGGGTAGAGCGGACGGCAAGTTTGGATGTAATTAAGAAAGCGTACAGGAAGAAGGCAAAGGAATGTCATCCGGATAAAAACGTGGATTCCAGCGAGGAGGAGAAAGCCATACAGGAGAAGAGGTTTAAGGAGATCAGCGAAGCGTACGGTGTGCTGTCAGACGCCGAGGAAAAACGACGGTACGACCTGGAACAAGCCATGGAGGGGGTACAGGACGCTTTGGAGGGTTTTCAAAGTTCGGAACTGGTAACGTACCCCACCCAGACTCAGAGGACTGGTAGATTTGGACAAACACATGCACATGGGTTCAACGCTAACCCAGGAGCTAACCCAGGGGGTAGACAACGTTATGGGTTTGCTAGTAGAGGATTCACAAGTAGCCGATTCAAGTTCCATCATGTATGACGCAATAAGTGGGTTAGGTGTTGAGTATGCATACTTCCTGTATAGACCAGGTAGAGGACAAATCATGGCTAATTTCACTGCGTTACCGGACTGCTTCCTTAGCTTAAATTTGTACTTCATATGTGCTGGTAGAAGGAAAAGAGATCTTTAAGTATGTTCTCAATCACATTTGAAAAGCGATACTGCTGCCAAGGACGTTACTGTACTGACACGTGCACAGAACATATCACGTCCTCAGTACTCGAGCCATATCCTATTTTTTATTATAATCTAAAACAGGAGAAATATAACGCATGGGCATGTGAACAGCGCTTATATTATATTTCCAAAGTCTGTCTTCTATGCAAGCAATAATTGTTCACAACAAGCACATGCTTAAATATCTGTTCTATGAACAATCCACAGTGTAGATTTTGTACGGGTGGGGCACGGTGCAACCGGTGGGTTATGGTGAATAAAGACTTCTATCTTTTCGGTTATAAAAGAGTTTATGTTGGTTTATTACCCCATAGATTTATATGAATGAACCAGGTTGCTTTTATTTGGGCCGTTCTCTGTGTTCGTTTCTTTGTTTGAACCATTCTTCATTCATGTAATGATTCACGATCTAAAAAAGACTCCTAAGTTCCGTATGACAATAAACAGCTTTCGATGTAATACTATGAAATTAGCTAGCAATGCTTAGTAATAACGGACGGGTACACTTTCAAAACACGCCAGTGATAAGAGTGTATGACTTGCAGCTCCAAAAATTGTGGAGACCAAGATGGCGGTCATAATTATGACTCACTCGCCATAATTGTGGTCGTTGTTAGGATCATTTCCCGTCAAAGAATAGTCATCAAATTATAGGCGTTACTTCTCTAGTTCCGCCGATTCTCTGGGTATAGTGTTCTAATTACTGCCCCCCCCCTCCCCCCCGAGATCCTACAATTGCTTATGGGGCAGTATATTTCTGAGATATGCAAATGAGATTGTTCCTGTTATCTTGTGCTGTGTCAGCTGTTCAGACACGGACCGCCTCAGGGAGATGGACTAAAACTGACAGATGAATCATATTGTGATACAACCACGTGAAAATGATAATCTTTTAAATTTTCTTATCATAGTGATTTCGGCAAATTTGACGAGAGCCTAAGCCCAACCACCCACCCTCTGTGATTTTCTGTACCTCCTGTATTGTGTTTGTAGAACTGACAGATGGATGAATCATTGTGACACTACCAAGTGAAATGATAATCTTTTAAATTTTCTTGTCATAGTGATTTCGACAAATTTGACGAGAGTCTAAGCCCAACCACTCACTCTCTATGACTTTCTCTCTCCTGTATTGTGTTTATAGAGAATTAAGGACGGCCTTGTCATCATGGAAGATATATTACTCATCGTCCCAACCCTACCTTAAAAATTAACAATGACACATGCATCACAAAGGGAACTGTTGTCCTGAAAGACGGAACTGGCACGGAAATTCATGGAGCGCTTTTAGAATATCCTGGAAAAATGTAGATGAAATGACTTTGGTCCTTCGGGGCAAAAACTGGAAATTTCATGGACTCACAACCTGTGCAACCAAAACGACCAGCATGTTACAAAAGATCTCCCTCAATATTCTTAAAATCCATCCTACATTATAACTGTTATAGGTTTTGGAACTATAGCTTAGAAATTTTGGCGTGACGGCAAAAGTTTCGGGTGGTAAATAATCAGTTTTGTTTACAATATTTACACCCAAGTCAGACAAGGCCGAGGCTTTTGGGTCACCATTAGTTTAGAACCACCTGAGCGGAAAATCTTGGCAAACGTCTGAACCGGAGGTGCCATTGTTCCGGCACATACCTCTGCAGCTGTGTAAGGAGGAAAATGCAGGCATTTCAAGGAAAGTTTGTTCAGTTGGACCTCAACGAGCACCTAAGTCAGTTTAATTGACACCCGTTCTTCTCTGTCCTACATGTCCATGTCGGCATACTTCTGTCCTGATAATCTTACGCCAAAGGCCCCTGAGCACCTGGCTACCTTCTGTGTGAAATTTTGTCCAGTATAACCCCGAAGAGTCGACTCACGGTTCCCTACAGAATCCATTTACAACCCTTCATGTTAACATTTGTGTTTCTTTAGACGGAAGGAGGGTCAGAGAGTTACACCATCACCATTCTTCTGTGCCGGTTTTAGAGGGTACTCGTGTGACGGAACAACGCATCATGCCCTGAGGCACAGACCTGCTACGCTCTCACAGGCACGTTTCCACACACGTGCAGATGCACGTTTCACCGCCAGGTGGCGTCTTGTACCTTACAATACTACAACATATAAGAGCTTGATTTGTCATCCTATAGCTAGTTGGCTATTTTAAAGCCTTATTAACCCCTGACCATTTACCTTCACATACTACTTGTGTCTCAACAATAAATCAAAGAATCAAATACTAAGTTAATCTCCTGACAGACAACGAAGTGTATATACATCAAACGCATTCATAGTCGCAAAACTCGCAGGAAATCCAAATTAGGTACGGTATATCTTTTTTCATCGGCCCACCAGAGATCGGTAGTGAAAATGAAAAAAAAAAAACGGAAAATTCGAAATCATTGAAACTCGGCAGCATAGTCATATCTAGGTATTCCCGTACCCGGTGAATGACGGCATAGAGGAGGACTTGTTTTATGGCCTTTTATGTGATTAAAAAAAGGAGAGCAGTTGTTATGTTTTTTGTCTTTCACTGCCAAAAAGGTTTATGGAAGCCTCTCAACATTCGTAACACCTGTCAGACATCTGCTCGTAAAAGTAAAAGCAATATGCTCGCTAATCAGTAGGGGGCGCAATTGTACGTGGCGAATAAATTGCACGATCTATCTCATAATATTAGTACATTTGACAAGTTCAAGTTAAGGCTAGCATTTAATTGGTCTTAAAACCACAACCAGTAAGTATACTAACGTACATACTATACCAACAAACTGTATATCAGAGTTCTGTGCTGCTGATAAAGTCAAATGTGAAGTACAACATGAACATACGTGCGTGCGACACTTCTTCTGTCGCTTGCGTCAAGGCTGAGCATGCCTAAGTAGTATACAATGTATTACTTACTTACTTAGACTTAGTTCCTCCCGTGCAAGGCACATTGGGCAGCAAGTCTTCTCCACTCTGCTCTGTCTTCGGCGAGGGACTCGGCATCCTTCAATGTTATCCCCCTGCTTTCCAGATCTTTTTGAAGGGTACGTCGCCATGTTAGTTTAGGCCTCCCTCTTTTCCGTTTGCCCTCTGGTTTCCAAAACACAGATGTTTTGGCGTGTCGGTCTGAGGTCATCCTGAGGACATGTCCAGCATACCTCATCCTCCTCTCGGTGATGGTGATGCTGAGTGGTTTTGTACCAGTTCTGTGGTATACCTCCTCGTTGGTAATCCTGTCTCTGTATGTTATGTGTAAAATTTTGCGGAGGCATCGTTGTTGGAAGGCATCCAGCTTGTTCCGCATTCTTGTTGTTATCTTCCATGTTTCACATGCATAGAGTGCAGTTGGTATTACTACTGACTGTAGCAGCTTGGTTTTCAGCACTCTGGATATCTTCCCACTGTTCCACACTGGGTTCATCCTTCTGAAGACTGATGCTGCCTTACCTATGCGGGCACTGATGTCTGTGTCTGTGTCCCCTTCTGCTGTCATGGTGCTTCCGAGGTATGTGAACTGCCTTACGTTTTCAACAGGCTCTCCACTGATGTGCAGGTTTGTACAATGTATACGGCTAAATAAACAAAATGTATCATATGGATCATCTGTGTATTCACTATTCACCACAATGATTATACAGAATGTATTGTAGTTCTTCGCCGTATTGATGAATTCGACAACTACACTGCTCGTTGTGAATTGGTGTAAATTTTTATTTTCCATATGTTAATGTTATATGCCAACTACCAATTGTAGATTACTAACACTTTGTCAGATGAATAGAATAACACAGCCTCTTGAGAAAGGAAGAAAGGTCGGATGTTTCACGGCCTTCTCAGCGGAGTAAATATATAGCGTTAATATCATATCAATCGTGACTTTTCATGGTAGCTTACAAAGCATCTCCACGTTTCGGCGCGCACAGGAATTAGACTTGTTTCACACAATGGGAGTTTCTGGTGTATTACCTACTTATTCATGCCTATCCTCATAAATAATTTCTATCCCCATTGTTCACTGTCACTGGCCCAGGAGATACACCTGTACGGAATATAAAGGTGTACTGAGGCGGTAGTGTGCCACCCAATCACGCGTCGACACGGCCGACATTTCAAAGAAAAGGAATATTGCAGTCATAAAGGGGAGGAATGATCCTCCATCGTGCATTTATATTCCATTGCGGTTGCGTGCCACGAACAACAGAAAGACAGAACCGGGATATAAAACTCAGTGTATCATCGTGAAGACATTTCTCTTGTGTATATTTAGAGTAGTTGTAGGTCTTCAAATGCACTTTGAGTGGAAGGCTAAATCACCTCATTGAAGAAAAGGCTTGTCATGTAAATGGTGTGCTGGATGACAACAAGACACTCAGGTAACTTTATTTTCTTTTATCATGATCTCGTCTTATGTGATGACATACATAGCATTTCATGACACAATCCTGCAATGAATTTTATATATAGTCCTTTATTTTGGACATGTCAGTCTAGATTCTTTCCTGACCTGAACCCCGCTCCCCCAACAGGTGTCTTGTTTACCTACATTTGATGTTGACACGGCAAGCCATCTCATGAATATTTAATTAGCTTCGCCAAGATGGCGACGGGGCCATCCCTGTTGCAGGTCTGCTTGCTGTGGTGGGCAAGCCAGGCCCTTCTGGCCGCCGGCTGGACACACTGGGTCGTCACGGAGGACGGGAGGATACAACAACAGGTAAGGAACACAGACCTGTCTTTGTCTTTACCACAGGATCGTAAATACTCGTCCTAACACATGTGCTTGCGAGCGATCTCGTATCTCTGGGTAGGGGGGTAGGGGGGTGGGCACAACTCAGTGCCAGTTGAGTTAGCGACTATTCATTCTTCTGATAAATGCCCGCAGGCTATCGCCTTTAGATGGTCACTTGTTCCGTGCTTAGAATAGACAATAGCCACCCTCCATATGGTACACAAGGAGCAAGTTGAAAATCACTGAATGAATGCAGATGAAAAATAGCAGACGACGCAAACTAGAGTTGTTGCCAGCACACATCCAAATTTATTTTTCCGCCCCCCTCCCACAACTCGACCTGAATAAAATATTGGACAACAAACAACTATTGATTTGACAACAACTCAGCTACCGGAACATTTTTGTCCACTCAATGAAAAGAGGGAAGCGAAAGATTTCACTTTCTCAGACATACATACACGTTATCTGTGTGTGAATCTTGGTGAACTTTGGTACTCAAGACAACAGGAATGACAACATGTTGACAAGTTCCCAGCTGCTGCGAATTATTTACAAACAATTTGTTGTTTTAATCTGGTGTAGATTACATCAGTTCTAAGATGTGTGACTCATTGTAATTCTGGGTATAGTATGTCATTTGTTGTGCCAATATTCAGATACACATATGATATACATGTACAATTACACTTTGGGTATGGTGGGCTAGCTCTAAACTTTAGTTGATGACATTTATAGGAAGACACAGAGAATAATTTTGCAGACAGATACACACAAGGCCATGTCCTTGGTTGACCTCTAAGCGAGGTGAAAAAGGCATCCATGTTTATATGTATATCTATAAACGTTACTAAAAGCTTAGTGTCTGCCAAGTGCCAAATGTCAGATTCAACTGTCTGCTAAAGTTCAACATTCCTGATGTTTACAAAAGACTGACTAGTAGAGGCTCTACTTACAGTTAAACATGGGACTTTAAGCTTATATATGGTGTGCCATACACATAAACGAATTACACATTGATAGAACTGCAATTTCTGAGCCACTATGTCACTGCACACATGGCACGATAACTCAGTCAGGGCGCAAATTAAGTTCTGATCCCTCCCAGCCCTCGCTACATTGCCTAACAATAGCCTTTTTGTATGGCGCAACAAATGCAACGATCTAATCAAGTGAAGTATATAATCAGTCCGGACCTCGGCTGACCTTGGTATTGTTGTGTTGAATTCCTGTTGCATCAGTCAGACTGCTTCCCCGCCATTGTTTATAATCCCTTTAGTTTTCTGGCAGACTCTCATGCACACAAACATCCACAGCACTTTTCCACTTGTAAGGGCTGCCTGTGTCATGTCAGGTCATGGCTTGATGTGCCTTTATGTCGAAACTACAGACAAACATATCTTTTTTTTTCCTGTCTGGTTTTAACCAGAGCTGTCCGAAATGTCTGACATTGACTTTGCAGAATGTAGCCTTGATATCTATCCAGCAAACCTGTGTGCGAACATAACACTGTCTGTTGTGCATAAACAGGTAAAATCTGTTTTCCAGCCCACTGTTGTAGTTTATCAGTACAATTTACTACAAAGTACAATACTGTATTGTATTGCTTTGAAGGAAATGGGAGGGTTTTGTATAATCTAATTTTTTAATAGACAACCCAGAGTGCATAATACCTATACAAATACAAATGATTTTGAAGGAAGAACACACACATCTTGACAAATTACATTGGCCAAACTATGCTTAAACTTTAAAGTCAGTTTGTCAGCAGTCAGTTGATTCATCAGTTTGTTAATGTTTGTTCATTTCTTCCTTCCTTCTTTCATTTGTCTCTCATTTATTCTTTTGATATTGTCAAGTACTGTGAATCACAATTTTTTTCCCACCGTACTTCTTTATTCATGGTTTTCACCATTACCGTGAACATTAATATATATATAATAATTTGCCAATTTTGTTTTTGCTACACCTGCTGCCACCGCGAACGTATAGTTCCGTGAAGATGTCCATTTTCCTCAGACGCCAAAATATTGCTATCGTATACATAAGGTGATGTACAGAACTTTACTGTATTATGTTTGAACTGAAATGGGTCTGCTTTACTTATTTACCAACAGATCTCCAGGGTTTTTTCTAGAAAAATTTAGCATGAGGAAGCAGATCGCAAGCATGGCAATGAACGAAGTGACCGAGGGGGGATTTTTTAGAGTAACACTCACAAGGGTTCGATTTGAAAATTGGTATGAGGGAGCTGGCTGGTTACATGAGGGAGCAGCTCCCTTATTTCCCTGTTTAGAAAAAAACCCTGGATCTCTATCTTTGTTAACTTGTCGTTTTCTGTTGTTTCTTCCCAGTTTGAGTCTCCGTTGAGCATCAAGCGAACAGATGACCTGGTGATGTTCATGCGTCAGGCCGAGCGGACTGAACAGATCGCACAGATGCAGAAGGACCTCCTGGCACAGAAAATCCACATAGAGGAGACAGAGGACAAGGTAGACTCAAATCTGATAGGTTCAGCCATTGGAGAGCTCTGTGATTATGCAAATTACAGTGTTAGTTTGACTTGATATGCATAATTGTATGGTTGCGCCAGGTTGGAAGCTCAGCTCAGTATGCTTACAAAATACACCATCTATCAAGTATATTGATATATTATTATGGACCTATCTTAGTATATTATGAAAGGTTTAGTATAATTGCATATAAAGCCTGCTTTGCTGCAGTATTGCATTTGGTCACAGTGTAAATATATCCTTTAATGACAGTTATTAGTGCTCAACTTGTAAGACAGGTAACTTGCACAAAGCTAGGACAAAGAAATATGGTTAAGCTATTTAGTTCAGTATGAAAAGAAAAAGAAAAAAATGAATGCAAATTTGTAAGTGAAATAAAATGGTTCTGCTACTACACAATAAAAATAGACTTGAGTCAAAGAAGAAAAATACTTGGTTGTTCCATAGATACTATTGATTCAAAAAGAACAAAATGAATTGGAATTCTATATGCCCGGTTAGTTTAAATTTGGCATGTCCCTTTTTTTGGTGTGGCATCAATGTCTTTGTGTTTTTGGAGGCCAGACAATGTGTCATACCAAATCACCTGGCAGGCCTTTGTGTGTGTGAGTACAAATGTAGGTGTGGCACCCTTTTCTCAGCACCAATTCCATAGATAAAGGTTAACAGCCCTTATAATCAGCTACACATGAAAGAGCTGAGTAACAAATGAGTTTATTTCTGCCAGCTTCAATTTTCACAGGTATAACCTACACAGCATGTTTTTATTAGTTGGATGCCGAGTCACGAGACTGTTCAAGGTTGTTAACTTGAAGACAAAAACAAACCAACCAGGTGTTAGACTGTACAATACAATGACTCATTGTTATACTCTTCTCACATGTATGTACCTCACTCCTTTAGGCAACAGACAGTCTTCACATAACACTGCAACTTTCAATGCGCAAACTTGCACAACACAACTTGTTAAGAGTGCAAATTGTAATGTTGGGAAATCACATTGAATTCAAGTTTGCAAGTACATGTACATAGGCAATACTACATGTAACTCTGTTTACCATGAAGACATTGAAATAATTTTAAATGGTGTTAGTTGATGCAGATTGTTTTGAAATAAACAAATATTTATCCCATCCAGCTTGAGATTTTGTAAACCCAGACAATAATCTATTTATTAATCATCCTTTTTCAGGAGACGAATTTGGAGCAAACGTTTTATAAAACAGATCCAGACTGCCGTGCAGCCAAGAGACAACTGACAGATTTTGACTTGTACATCAGTACTGTGTTACCACTGGAGAATAAAGGCATTAGGTGGGAGATATTTGTATGCATTATCTCAATAAACACAGGTCACTGTTAGAAAGTCATTTTCCCAGTAGTTATAGTAAGTTGTAAGGGTGTTGGAAGCTCTCAAAAGTGCTGTATGTAAGATATATTTTAAAACAATAAAGCATATTTTTTTCAAGGGATTGCCACATAATCAATATGATGCTCACTTGTTAGGCCTAGGAAAAAATGTTGTGTTTCCTGTTTCCTGACCAACCCTTAAAAAACTGCCGACCCTAGCCTTTTTTTTTGTGGACCCCTGCAAGCTATGGGACATAGATTTTGTGAGCTGATCAACATTTTCTAGCTCCATGATTTGACACCTGAGTGATGTTCAAAATGTTGTACAATCAGTTTTCCAACATTGGCATTAAAAATATAAGTGTCCTCATGCAAGTTTTACTTTGTTAAACTGTATTTGTATAGGTTAAATCACTAGAGATCACCAAAGAAAAACCTTACTTACCAAACTTTTTTTTCAGTACTGAAACAGGAAACATAACATTTTCCCTAGGCCTAACCTGTGGATTTAGACAGTTAAAATAAAAATTAAGTTGAATTCAACCTTGACCTACACCTGTAGATTTCCACCCTCCAGTTTGACCGTTTCCAACCCACAAAACTTGTAATGGTCACATTAACAGTTAAAACTGTTAATGTGACCATTACTATACTACACAGGCTCTTCTCATGTATAAATAATTGATGTAATCAAAATGCATGTACAGTATACATGTACATCTGGAAGTATGCATGAGTGGTCAAATAACTGTTGGCAGAAAATTGTTCCCCACCCAGTAGTTAATAATAAATGAGGTTTCAGACATCTAAACAAATTGATAGATAGAAGTGGGTGGTTCCTGGCTAGAATAGGATATGAGAACCATTGCTGCACTTCTTGGGGGTTGCCTAATCTAATATATGATGGTATGTTAGGAATATCAAAGTTTACACTATATAAAATTGTATGTGATGTATATACTATTTATACATACTGTCATTTAGACTGTCAAAATAATTATTTCTTTCCCGCAAAAAAGTACTTTTTGTGTTAACTCAAAGATGCTGATGATATTCATGTTCTTCAGACTGGAAGATTACATTAACATCAGCAGGGAGGATCAGCCTGAAAAAGTGCTCACCCCCGTCTGTTCATCCGTAGTGGACCTACCCTACAGTATCCATAGCCTTGAGCATCTAGAGGTAAGTTAACACTAACAGGCTGAGAATTTGCCAGCAGTTGACCTGAATTTGTCACAGTAGAAGTAGAACTGCCAGATGCTCGCAGCAGCATGGTACAGGTTAAACCAAAGATTAGGATGAAAAGATTCCTCTAAAGAGATGATGCAACAGCCTCAGGGCTTGAAATACCACCTGCATATGCAGGTTAGTGTAGGTAAAATTGGAGCTGTGCAGGTATTTCTGATATCTACCTGCACCTAACCTACACTGGTCCATGTACTGGGTTTACAATATACAAATGTACTGTATATGTATGTGTATGTTTTATCTACTGCATTGACGACCACCTGTGAACTATAAAAGAAATTTTGACAATGGTTTCTGAACAGCTTTTAGTATGATCTATGCTTCCCAAATTCTTGGTGGTACAAGAAAAAATTGTGTGGTACAGGTAATTTTCAGTGTTAGCTGCACCAGTGCAGGTACAAATGTACATGTGTATGCAGAAAACAAAAGGATTTCGAGCCCAGATCCTAGCCCAATGCTTTTGGTGCAGTCAGACCAATTTCAAAAGCCATTTCACTTATTGATGGGGACACAGGTGTAACTAATCTGTACACCTTGTCAGGACTTGTGCACCAGAGAGTTTGTTTGCAAATCTGTTACCTAGTAGTAGTAGTACATAATGTAGAGACTTTAAAGTTCAGTGACCTCAATCTGTTTAACAGTGTGACTCACAGACTTTTGTGAAGAAGTTTTTTGTGGGATTGGTTCTCGCTGAGAAAAAAAATACCATCACGCCCATGTATCATTAGCAAATGCTTGAAATGATGAACAAGCTTTTGTTAAAGACATTTCCCCCCCAGGCAATTTTGTAACACACAAAAGCTTGTATAGTCCTTGGCCCCTTTTTTCTCTATTATCAATGATACCATCTTATGCATCATAATGATAATGGTGGTGTTTTTGACTTGGACCTGAAGATTTAAAAAAAATTAGAGGTGGTTCTTACAATGAAGAAGCAACAAACATCACATTTTACGTGAAGAGCCTATTATTATGTAACATGTTATCCATTCAAAAATGTGCATTACGCAATGTAGCTAGTTACAGGACTGTTTCTATGTTTTTTTCTCTCTGGCAAGGACATGTACACATTTATTGTTTTTTTTAGAATAACTTTGAATAGATTCCTCACATTCAGATGGAACTAATGGTGCAAAATTTGTGTTTGAATGTCATCCAAGCGACATGTTGTTTGTGACAATGTTTTTTCTATGCACACATGACCTTTCACAGGAATGTCACATCTGTGTATATCTGTGACAAATGGGAAGATTGCCAGTACTGATATATACTGTTTGTTGAGTTGAACAATACAGTAAAAGAGTATAGAAGACTATTCATGGACACTGCACTTCAAATCTTTTCTCTGCATACCAGCACTGGTGAAGGTACATGATGTGTACAATGTAACAAAATTTCCTGCACCAGACAACTCTTATCTGCACCACTCAGAAGTTAGGAACTATGAATCACACTAAAAACTGTTCAGAAAGCATTGCCAGTATGTCTTTTATGCTTCATAGGCAGTAGCATGTCATTGCAGGAAATAAAAAAATTAATCCACAATCATACACCTACATGTACAGATGTATACGGACAACCTTGTACACATGGACCAGTACAAGTTACAAGTGCAGGTACATGTAGAAAGGTCCAATGCTACCTGCACTAACCGGTATAGTATATTTTTAAGCAGGTGGTATTTTAACTCTAAAGATGATGATGGTATTTCGAGATTTTCGACCTCTGAAAAACCTTCCCTACTGCTATCCCAATTCCACATACATGTAGATTAAATGACTGAATTGTATCTGCTGATTTGCAGTAACTGTTGAATGACAGAACCATGTTTGTTGACTGACAGGGTATACAGAACAGGAAGAACCTGAGTGGGTTACCAGAGCCAGGTCTGAGGAGTGCCCTGCCAAAAAATGAGGACCTCGCCAAGCTGGGACACTGGATCGCTGATGGCATGGAGAAGGTACGTTGTGTGTGTGTTTTTTGTGTTTTGGCGTATGTGTATGTGTGTGTCCGAGGGGGGGGGAGGGAGGCTTGTCACTGAATGATGCTATGTAGGTTTCTAGCGGCGACTAATTTATGAATAATTTATCAAGGCCCACGAACCTGGTTTATGGCATTTACAGGAAACTAAGGGTGCGTCTGATATATTGGCTAATTGTTGTTGCTATGAGCCATCTGATTAGTCCCCTCTAAAAACCTAGACTAGGTGGATATTATGTAGTGTACACTGGGTGTGTGTGTGTAGTGGGGGGGGGGGGGTGTAGATCAACTACATGTATCTATCTAGCAGCCAGATGATAATTTCAACACGCGTAATTATGGTCCGTAAGTCACTGATGAAACATAGTGGGTTCTGTCCGAAACATCCCTTTCTTTAGAGAGTACAAAATTTATTCAGTTGTTTTTAGAGATTATGAATCCAGTTCCTTTATTCATTTTTGTATAACATGGATGTCTGGATGCCTAACACTTTTCTACGTTATACAGTGACAGGCAGAATAAAAGTTGTTAATGGCAGCTATGCAGCTCCAGATGTCTTACTGAGGGGCGACTGTGGTGTGAAAGATTTCGGTAAGCTTGAGGAATGAATCCCCTCTATTTAACCTATGTTATAAGCTTTCCCTCCTGTGATATTTCAGAACCAGTCGTCCTGGGTGCTGTACAACCTGGCTGCCTTCTACTGGAGGATCAAGGGAAATGCCAACAACATGATCGAGTGTACCAGGCGTGCCTTGCACTACTCACCCAGGTCAGAGGTCGCAACGTTTTTAAACTTAAACTGTTACCCTCAAAAGTTTTAAAACTGCCTGGAAAAGCTGAAAAAAAAGCTCTTTACTTTGTGCATTTTCTATGCATCTACTATGTAATAACATGGGTGCTGTTTAATTTCTAAATGTTGAAAAGTACCTACATTATATTTGTTAAAAACCCTGAATATGCATTTAGGAGCACAAGTATATGAATTTAGGAATTGACCTGTCATTGCTGCCCTGAAGAAGGTGACAGACGGTCACTAAAATGTCAGATGTGTAAATCCCTGATTATTGGAAAAGAACCTTGTACTCTCATACATTGTTTTTTTTGTAAAACCTCAGTCTGTATCCATACCATGTCAGCCTTCTCACAAAAATCTGGAGTAGGTGACTGTAATAAAAAAGTAGCAGGTAAGCCATGAAAGGGTTTGTAATGGAGACTACAATGTTTTTGTTGAATTTACACAAAAGTAGGCGGCGCAAAAATTTGAGTGATTTTCGCCTGTTGCCAGCTTGTTTTGAGAGGGCTGCATGTTACTTTATTCAATGCAAAATGTATCTTACACAGTGTCTTGTATTGTAGGGAGCACAGGGACGTAGCCCTGCTGAACCTGGCTAACATCCTACACCGGGCGCACTACTCGGAGGAAGCCGCTGTCGTCACACATGCCTCGCTGGACATTTCCCGCGACTTCAACGTCAAGTATTTCCACCTGGGAAATGTCTATGCTGTAAGTATGCCCTGACCCATCCGGTTAGCCATCTAGTTTCATAGTCTTCTGGGTTACTACTCGAAATACTTTGTTCTGCATTAATTGCACAGAATGCACCAGAAACATTTTACCTGCGCAACTAATTTTTTATCGATATCAGTCATTAAAAAAAATTTGAGCCATCTTAAATCATATAATTAAACTATTATGACAGGATACTACTTTGGACAGGTAAATAAAGGTGCAAGTAGACATCAAAAATACCTGCACAGCTCCAGTTTTACACGATGGTCAAAAAGGCCATCAAAAATCCTCACTTGGAAATCATTAATATTAATGAGAAATCGGTGTCAATCAGTCATTTCACTATTGGCAACAATAGCTGATTGGTTCACGCTTTAGCGGGCGGGGCCTTGGCATGTTTTGGTGACACTTCGAGTCGCTGTTTTTTTCCCGCGATCTTGTCCTTTCATATGCGCGCCTCTCCCCGCCCCTATTGTTCTTTAATTCACACAATTAACAATGCCCCAACACTCATTCAAGCCATGTTTAATTTCCTTATGCCACCAACAATAATTCGCAACTGTGCTACAATTTGTCTTATTTCGTAATTCAACACACTAAAAAAATTCCACAGATATTAAAGTTCCCCGGGTCTAATCGGCCTTGATCGCGCTATTGCATACTTCAGACGGCACGGAACGCGCCGGCATCGGCTGCATGACAGAACATCTAGAATATGTCTAAAAAATTCCAGACTCGAGTAATTATTCAAGAACATCTACCAAAAACACACTACATACGATTCAGATACATGCTTATACATGTATTCTTGTTGTACCTGTTACTAAACGAGGTTTACGGCGCGGAAACAGCACAGAAGCCATGATTGTTTGGCCGGCGTGCCGAGTACTTCGTCTAATACGGGGAATGCATCGTAACGTTCTGGAGTCAAATCATAGACCGTACTAAAAACATAACCGTACTAAGAAGATTTTAGAAATAGTAGAAGTATAATAGTAAATCTTTGTAGAAGAAAGTCGGCTGAAGCCAGAGTTTTTTTCACAACATAACTGGATTAGACCGGTTCCCTCCTTTTTCCTTTGTTTACAAACCGACGCCATTTTGTGTCACAGTTTATAAACCTACAGCCCCTTTTTTTTAATTCGTGTAGCTAAGGAGGTTATCCACCTACCTGCATTTCAAATCCCAAATAACACATTCAAGGCAATGTTCAGCGTTCTATCTCTAGCAACCATTTTTTGTCGATCACTGTCGATGCTATGTTTCAGCATGGAGGTAGAAAAAAACCTCCATGGTTTCAGTTACTCGCGCGTGCCGACACAAAGCTTTTGTGATTTTTGTCAAAATTATTTCTTCAAACCATGGAGCTTCAGGTTCCAACCGACGACTTCGACACGGTTGCACGACGGAACGGATGGGGATAGTTTTAGATTTACCATATGATGTCGCCCAAATAAGCCAAGAAGCTTAAAAAAACATACGGTGGGGAAGTAAATTTTATTCTCGTTCGCTACCGCGACGTAGTTTTGACTTCTCTTTTTCACGGTACAATGATTGGCGTCCACTTGGGGGAATATGAACTTTCCCTGATAAATACGATATATACGACTGGAAAAATTCCTTGAACTGTCAAAGAAAATCTTCTCAAAGGGACAGTATCGGGGTTGATTTGCATCGAGCCAACGCACTGTTGTCTTTAAAACTCGCGCCCGGGAGGAGAACAATAGGGCCACGCTGGTCGAAATTTCCATTTCACTGGCCTTCCCGGGAGGAAGGTGAGAACGAACCACTCTGATCTCCACCGACGTCCTCATTATAACTCTAAAACAAACCCTCTGTTCCACGTGAATTTTGAACTAAAACGCAGAAAATGTATGTTGAGCAATATCTCCCGATCCTATCGGTAGAATTCTATAAAAAATACACCAATCGAAAAAGTAAACATCTGGCCGCCATCTTGAAAAAAATGACGTGATTCTCTTGCACCGTTATGGAATTATGGGAGAAAACATACTAGAAAATCGACAAAATAAGTTAAAAACTAACAGACAACAAAAATTCTACAAGAGAAATGGAATTTAAAGGTCCTAAAGTTTACAGTATGGATAAAACATATGTTTGATGCGTAAATTAGCGAAATGTAGCGGTAGGTTAAAGTTCAATGACCCAAAATGACCTCATGTACGCACGTACAGTCGGCGGGAAATTTGAATTGCATTCTACGTTGTCATTTCTTATTTTATACATATATCGGGAGCGAACTAATTTTTTTGTGTGTGTGCGTGATTCTTTTTCTAACTTCATAATCGCATCGTGCGTTATATTGGGCGAAAGTTGTGTTGTTTATCTGAACACTGCCGCTGCTCACTGCGCACCGGGTTGTGGGCGGGGCCTATTTGCTTAGCAACGAGGATTTTAACATAGCAACGGGACCATCGTGTTACCTGCATTAACCTACATATGCGCAGGTGGTATTTTGAGCCCTGACATATTTCTGTTGCTAATTCATTGCACGGTTGGAGAAATGATATTTTATTACACTACATGTATATACCACACAGTCTCCCCTAGCATTACAGTTAAAGCAAAATGAAGCAAAAATCTATAATTTTATTAAAATCTATTCAATTTAAGAAGCACTCTTTCTCTAAGTTAGATTACAGACACTCATTAGTGAATCAAATTCAAAGAAAGCAATTTCAGACACTGTACAGTATTACATTGTACATTACATACTGCTGACTTCGAGTCAACTCAAGCTGGTAGAAATCTGCTGTGTGTATATGCTTGTGGGAAAAGTGTAACACGCCCTAATTATAGCATTCAGACAAAGTAACATGGGCAAACGTCCAACAGCCTGTACCTTTTAAACAGACTTGTGAAATCCTTTCATGTATGACAATAGCAGTTGTCTAAAGCCCAAAGTTCAACAGACATGCCCCAAAGCAGTCTGGCAGGAAGAAAAGTCTGACTTAGGCTACACCAATTTAATTTGCTGGTTCAAGGATTCACCCACTTCATTTTGTTCTGATTTGGAAAAAAAAAAGCATTTCAGCCTCTGAATCAACTCCAAAATGCTCATATTTTGGCCCCAACAGTTGAAGGAGGTCCCTTCTCTTCATAGTTCTCTTCACAGTTTTTTTCCATCTTTGTGTTTGAAGTTCAAATTACAGACCATGTTGCCTTCATGGCTCCTATCATAGCATTTGGGGCTATCATAGGATGCCTAGGTCTGTTTTTTTTTTTCGCCATTGCTTCATATTTATTCTGAAAAAAATCCAAGAAACAATGTATCAAATTGATAAGGCTTTATCACAATTTTGGTCATGGGGCCGGGACAGTGACCCAGAAGCCCCAAAGCCTGGCTTAGCATACTAAATCCGCTCTCAATCACTATATACCATTGTTCGGGAACACCCAAATTACTTCCGACAACTATGGACTCATCCTTGTGCTAGAAGGGCTATTGTTAAGTCATTGTGCTAGATGACACACACAGACGATATCAGGTATCGTGCAAAAACATGGGCAGGTTTGACAAATCCAGAAACCTTAATACCAAAAATCACACTTAACACGTCTTTGGCATGCACACTTTGGCAACCATGTGAGAGAAGTATGGTTGGAACTTTTGTGTGTATTCGATGGGGAACTGGTCTATCTGGTCTCAACTGATCATGAAATGCATCCTTAGTAAATGTAATTGTAAAGCATGTTAAATTTTGTGCTTTGTAGTAGGGGGAGGTTTAACTGGAATCCATTCTTAAATATGTTTACGGAAGGAAAGCATATCGTTATTGCTGTTTCTTCTTCTTCTATTCCAAAAACTGACCTGGTCAATGACCTGAACCAGACTGTCTCTCACCATGGTAACTGGTGTTGGGTTACATAATGTAGCATTTTTATAGTAGGAGGGATTTAGACTCCTGCCACCATATATGTGAATGTGTAGCAGAGCAGACGATATGCGAAGGTAAACATTATTCAGTTGTTTTGCAAATGTTACCTTTCTAGTTGAATTTGTGTTTTGAAGGACTAGACTGTTGTTGACCATGCCTCTACAGGTGCTGAGTGAGTACAACCGATCCGTGGAGTGTTTCGACAAGACGATCGAGCTACAGCGGGACTTTGACGCCGCCATCAAACGCCGCCATGCTGTGCTGTGCCACTTCAAACTAGAGAAGGCTCTAGAGGCTCAACACAGGTCAGGGGTTAAAGACCATCTTTTCTAAGTGATCTGTGATCTGTACAAAACCTAGCCTGACATTTTTATCTTTACTTGTTGCTTGATACGTAGGCAATGTCTCTCTCCTCTGAGATGGTCTGAGCCAGATCTTTCCTTTGATTTGCTTTTCATTTCTGTCTTCATGCTTATACTGAATCTGTCTCCTGCTTCTCGGAGCTATCATTAGTTTTCATAATCGTAATCTTTATTTGCATGTTCGTGCCCATGGGGCTAAATGCATACTGATGATGTTACATATGAAGTAGCATAGTAGTAATAGAATAAAAGAAGTTTTAGTGAATGAAAAAAAAACCTCTACCTTCATTGTTAGGTAGTACCTGTATGGTACTTCCCAAGATGTTGGTGACAGTGGCAACAAGATTAAGAAATAAGTCAGTTTGGTAAAGGTTAATGTTACTACTACATTGTACATACATCATCATCATCGTCTATCTCTTGATCTGGTTGACTGTTTGGGCACCACAGATTCTCAGTCAACCACCTCCGACATACAGTTCAGAGTATCAGATGTTTGTGTTTGCTGCAGGTCTCTGGAGAGGACCCTGAGTGAGCTGAAGGAGTACCAGCGGCTGCATGAGGTGTACTTGGAACAGATCGCAGTCCGCGACAACCAGCAGTCCCAGCGTGCACTGCAGTTCGAGTCGCACCTACAGTACCAACGACAGGGAACCAGCGAGGGGCGACTGGGTAAGAGAGTTTTGCAGCTGTTTGGATGTTGCCTGCTGTAAGTTTTCTTTAGGAGCATTCTTCAGTGCTGTTGCTTGCTATAAATCTGTTTTGCACTATATTGTTTTGTACCTAGCCTCTTTTGAACCAGAGCCTCCTTGCATCTCTATTTTATTGTTCTTTGCTGTCTGTTTTAAGCCTGTTTTGCACATGAATCACCTATTTTGGCTCCTTTTTTTGCACAAGTGCTGTCTGTTACAACCTTGTATTTCACCAGTCCTACAACTTGTTTTGCACCAGGAATGTTTTTCCTGACCATATTGTGCACCTGTGCTGTCTCCTGTAACCGTGTTTTGCACCTGTGTTGTCTCCTGTAACCATGTTGTGCACCTGTGCTGTCTCCTGTAACCGTGTTTTGCACCTGTGTTGTCTCCTGTAACCATGTTGTGCACCTGTGCTGCCTCCTGTAAGCATGTTGTGCACCTGTGCTGCCTCCTGTAACCATGTTGTGCACCTGTGCTGTCTCCTGTAAGCATGTTGTGCACATGTGCTGTCTCCTGTAAGCATGTTGTGCACCTGTGCTGTCTCCTGTAACCATGTTGTGCACCTGTGCACCCTGCTCCAGAAGAAGACCAGCAGCAGTGCACCATGAAGGTTGAGTATGGGAAGCAGATCGTCGTCTGTAACTTCAGCATCATCCCGCCCAAGGTCAAGGACACTCCAGTACTGGTGAGCAATTATTGAAGATATTTAGCAATAATTATATGTAGATCAAATCTGTATTTGGTTAGTTCATGAATTTCTCAATTCAGTTCAGTGTACAGCGTGTAAAATACCTGGTTGCCCAGTTGCCCAGGGCAACAAAATTTTACTTGGGGCAACCTATTTTTGAACATAGGTAGCCCAGTGTGCTACCAGGATTTTAAGAATGCCCCCCACCCCCCAAATCATGCCCAATTGGCTTGCACCACTGTATCCGGCAGATGCTTTATTTTAATTTTAGGTATGTATTAATGGCTATTACTAGTATCGGTTAACTAAAGGCTGTTAGAAATATTGTGAAAGGCTTATGTATGTAACATTGCTTAATTTCAGGAAAGTAGTAACTTATAGTCGGGGCAACCTAAAATTCTGATGGGCAACCTAATTTTTGCTGTAGGTTGCCCACTGGGCAAAAAAGTATTTTGTACACTGGTGTACAGAATATCAAATGCCTCTTTCATGACTAAATTCTAACCTATTCAATACTGATAAACGATGCAAGGTACAGTGTATTCAACAATAGACCAGTGAGGTTGTATTCCTTCAATGCATTATGAAAGAACATATCTACTCAATATGTTGTGTAACCTTCCATTTAAACAGAGTGAGAGAAAGCCCCCTCTGCCGGCTCAGCCCCTCCCCCCACATGGCGTGGCAGACAGCCCCCCTGTAGGCACCCCAACCCCTGACTCTGCACCCCCTGCAGACAACAAACTAGCGTATGACCAGTACAGGTGAGTGACTTGACTCACTGTTATGGCATTGCCTGACTGTTGCAATAGTAAAATTACAGCGTGTGATTTTCCAATTTAAAGTTAGCAAGCTTTTCATGTATAACAAATGAACTTGTTACCCACTTATACAGTATGTATATTATGTAGTACAGAAACCAAGTTTGTCAGTGGTGCTTTTATAGTTACTGGAATGGCCATATTGAACTTGTCTATAAAGTATAATGAATTTTATTTGGCTATCTCTGAGTCACTTATGGGTATGTCAGTCAGCACTGTTTCCTTTTAAAAAAATTGTAGTAGATTGTTTCTTAGAAAAAAATATTTTTTCACCAGTCTTTTAGCCCTTTGCAGTAGTAGACTTTAAACAACGTAGACCGGATTAAATCATCATTGAAAGTTTCACCAACTGGTTTCTTCAAATGCCCCCCTCCCCCAGGGACCCCCTGTGGCCCAGTCGGGAGGAGTGTGACGCGAAGGTTCAGCGGCTGCCGGGGTGGAACGAGTTCCCCACCACATACCTGCCACCAGAGAACAAGGGATTCCAGTAAGTGTCAGAATGGTGGAAGACCTGACTGATAGTAGGGGCAGAGAATTGTCCTGTTTTAGTTGCCGTTTGTCTGTCTGTGTCTGTGGCCAGCATAACAGTTACATGATATTTGGTATGTGGGTAGGTGCTGGCAAAATGAAGGAAAACTTAATTTTGACCTCCCTGTAGCTTTCTATGTCACTGCAGCAGAACTTCTATTTGTGATATCTCTTCTTCAGGACATGCTAGTTTCTTATGATGTTTCAAATGGCATGTCGTAAAATCAACTGTCATAAAATCAATGTGCTAATCATCTGTTATACTGTGTGGACTCACTTGCTCATTATCGACCTCGTTAGCTACATGTATAATGAGTCAAACTACACCGAAGCTAGTGTCAATCCAAATCGTAACCACAGTGTTATCATAATGATTAAGTACATTGCGTGTATGTCTTCCCTACGTTGTAATTACATTAAGACTTATTATTGGTGTACTGAATGTTAGTAAAGATTGGTTCATCCCTGTGCTTCAGGATGCACCAGCTGTTGAATGAAGCGGTCCAGCTGACAGAGGAAGAGGAGCACGCCCTCCCCTGGTACAAACCGGTCTGCACCACCGTCGTCGACCTGCCATACACCCAGACCGCGTACGATCACGTGGACGGGGTAGGCAAGCGGGAGAAACTCCCCAAAAAGGTCCTGGACAACCACATGAAAATGGTATGGAAATAGTGTTTCAGACGTTGAATCGTTTGTTTGTTTGTTCCAAGCTAAAAAAAATCAACAAGAACAAAAACAGCAAGATTCCATTTGACGAAGAGGCTTCAAACTTTATTTTTGGGTATAAGAAAATTGCAAAAGCTAGTAGAATTCTTACCTGTTTGTGTAGATACTGTTACATCATACAAATAATTACAGTATATATTACATATATGTATATCAAGTGTACTATAATTGATGAAAGAAAAAACAAGTTTTTGTTCTGTGTAGCTGTATCTGCTTTAATGGCCTAACTGAATATGTCTGTCCACACCAGTTTAACAGCTTTGTTATGCCTAACTGTATGTTGTTTCTTCACACCACCACTTCTATGGAAGCCTCTCATTTTGGCCGCGTATCGTACCACCGAGAACGTTCACACCGAAGAAATTGGTCAGCGTATTCTGTCAGCTATCGAGAAGGTAGACCCAGTGCAAGTGAACGTTCATTTGGTGCTCTATCAGTAATTGCATGTATTAGCTGTAAATGTGGTGGATGTAGGTGGTGGATACTTTCAAATCATGTACCTCCTTGATAATTTGGCTATTAAAAATGTGAACGAAAAAGTTCAAAATCACTTTTTAAGACTGTTTTCATCACTTTTGAAAGATGAAAAATATGTTCATTGAAATTAGGGAGACTGGAAACTACTATGAAATGGATTATTCTGTTGTTGGAGGCACATTGCTTTGCAGCATCCGCCACCCCTCTTCATTTAAATGTTTTCTTTTTAAGTTCTGTATATTTCTTTTGCTGTCTTGTGCTGTATGTGCGGTGCCGTGCCTGGCTACGCTGCATGCTCTGGTTGGTGGTGGGATTTGTATAGGCTTGGCGGCAGCATGCCACCCTGGGTACAAGATCAGAGGGTGAGATTGATTGGTCAGAAAGTGAACGGGAGCTGGGAAGGAGAGTGGATCTGGCACTGCGCAAGGTACATTTGTGTGGGAAAAAAATCACCCTGACCACCCCTGTTTATTGAGTGGACTGGTCCAAATTCAGACAAAGTGACTGATATCTGGGTCATATCACTAAATTGCAGGGGTGGTATAGTTACACATCACCCAAAATGCTACTCAAAATCTTGCTCGTGACCAATTTAACACTGCATGCTCTTCTGAAAAACTAACAAGCACAAAATCACCTCTTTCCAATGAATGAAATATACACTCAGGGATACATGATAAATTTCACAGAGAAAAACCTCTATTGAGCTGATTAACATTGATTTGTAGATTTGACAAAAATGTATTTGTACCTAATTTTGTTATGATACAGATTAAGGTATATGTGTATGCAAACAAAATATATCTTTGGAAGTTTAAAATCAATAAAATGATATTATTGAATCTATTTTCCATGGCTCAAATATCACAAAATTTAAATGTTGTTCCAATAATCACCACACCATCCTCAATTACAAATTGAATAAATTCAATCAATTTTCAGCTTTTGAAGACTATACGTTGTAAGTCATATATTATTTTAAAATGCAAAGATTCAGTTGAAGACATATAACTTTATACTACATTTGTAGTTAACGAAATATATATCATATGTAAAGAATGCTAAAAGACTTACTTCAATGAATCACTTTTGGATGGAATGAAATTGTCAACAATTGTTGATTTTGGTGGATCATTAAGAACCAGAAATTTAGAGGTTGATATGCAGCTAACCCATACCCTGGCCCGCATGTGTCTGTAGTCTAGTTGCATGTGTTGCATTTTGTGTAATGTATTTTAATTTATGCAAGGTGTCTGTTTTGCACATACAGTAGGTAGCATGTGTGCAGAATATGTATATAACAACATATTAGAAAATGTTTTTTTATTAATTTTTCTGCCCACCATGTATCTCATTTTGCATGCAATTTTGCAACACTGCCTTGTATTCAGAAATAGCAGCAAGTTTTAAGAGAAACCTTGAGTGGGAAAAATATCTCAAATCTCAAATTTTGGATGCTGCCCTCTCAAAAAAATATGTGGCTTTTCCCATGAGGACCTGGTATTCTTGAGATACCATAACTGAAGATAACATCCATATGCCAATTAGTATTTCTTGATTATATGGCTTAGGTACAGTTATTTCTATCATTCTTCATGGTTTGGCAAATTGAATGTTTCTTTGAAAAAAAAAAACAGTAGAGAAAAATATTTGAATTCTGTTGATACAATTAACATCTATAACCATTAATAGCCATGGCATATTGATGATTGATGTATGACAATATCTATTGGTATGACAAAGTCTACTGTGATGAGTTTTGGACTAGAATTTTTATTTGGTACTCATATTACAAAATGAGATCTGACATGATTGTCTATTTGATATAACATAATGTCCATCATGTTATTCCAGTGCTTATTGTGAGTTAAAATTGACTGTAGATGACAAAAGGTATAAGTTTACTAGTTCCTGCATATTGCTACTGTATTTTCTAAAACAAGTGATGTTGGTTGATGTGGTTGTTGACAGAAAGCGGAGCCCCTCTGGACGTTGTTTAACCTGGCCGGTCTGTACTGGCGCGTGGCGGGGAACCCGTACCAGGCCATCGAGTGTATCCGGCGGGCGCTGCACTTTGTACCGTCACAGTACACGGACGTGCCGCTGGTCAACATGGCCAACGTGCTGCACCAGATCGGGAAAGTGGACGACGCCATCACGCTGCTACACGAGGCTCTACGCTTCAACGACACCGAGGTGACAGTGACACCGACTTGTAGATTGTTTGTTTGCTTGAGCCTTTGTTTATTTGCGATATACTAAAATTGTGCTGGCTGCTTTCATTGATTGAGGTCACAAAGAAAGGGGTCAGGCTCAGACAAAATTGAATAATAGATTACAAGTTTGATTGAAGATAACACTTTCATGTAAACTTTTATGAGAACGCCATATTTATAATTATGTTACCCCAAGATTTAGAATTTGTCAAAGGGGAATAAAATGTGAATGTCACTCCTGAGTTGGAAGTAAGATTTTCATGACCATTTTGTGTTTAGAACATTATAGATGTTAATTCTAGAAACCATCTGGTCATCTAGCCTGTTACTTAATCTGTTAATATCACTAGTATTAGGGGCTGATACATATATATAGGGCCTCCATGATGATGATGAATGATCCTTCCAGAGGCCTGACCAATGGTAGTTACATACAGAAAGCAGATCCGCTCTGAACATTGTTTAGTATATAGATATGTACTAATAAACTAGTCCACTACAGTACTAACTACAACTGCTACTAATACTATACTTCCACTACCACCACCACCACCACCACCACCACCACTACTACTACTACTACTACTACTACTACCTACTACAGTAACTACAGTACTACTACTACAGTAACTACAGTACTACTACTACAGTAACTACAGTACTACTACTACAGTAACTACAGTACTACTACTACAGTAACTACAGTACTACTACTACAGTAACTACAGTACTACTTCTACTTGACTAAGTACTACTCTGCCTGGTTTGTACTGGAAGCATGATGTACAATGTACTTAGGCTACTGGTCATCAAATAGCAAAACCCCTGCCTTACTTTATGGTACAATGTAGGTTAGAAATTTAGGTAGATGTGCTGATGTCTGGTCTGGAGGAAAGTCCTAATTCAGGTTGGTGTTGTTCCAGCCCATCACCCACTTCACTCTTGGCACGGCCAAGGCAGCCAAGGGTCAGATGGAGCAGGCCATGGAGTCGCTGGAGACAGCCCTGGACATCGACCCCTCCTACACAGAAGCCTTTGAGACGCTGCGGATCCTACGCTGCTACAAGAAGTTCTACAATGTCCGCCCTCAGGAGAAGTCACCTGCCATGAACAGGATTGGTAAGGGATTTAAAACGAAAAAATGGAATTAAACTTTTAGGGAAGCTTGAACTTGAAGTGGGAAGGGGATAGTATTTGTATCAAACTCATATATCAAGAAGTATAAAATACAAGCATTGTAGGATCATATCAACAAAATACAACATCTAACACTGACAATCTTGCCAAGCAGATCCCACAGTAAACATAATTTAACACTGTTGCCATGATTTACAGTCTTGCAGTTCAGTTGTATTCTGCCAGGGGGAGCTCATACACTGTTTCTTTTCCCTGCCAGCCTGCCAGAATTTTGTTCAACACAACCCAGCACAGTGCAAGCAGCAGTGCCGGCCGCCCATGGTCCTGGCCCCAGGCGAGGCCCTCTGCATCGTGCCGCATGGCGGACCACAGCCGCGCTGCCAGAAGCCTGCCTGTCAGAAGTGTAACCAACCCAGGAATGGTCAACCACTGGCTCCAGCTCCAGCCTGTATGGAGATGCCTGGACATACCAAATATCTAAAGGTATGGACGAGAGGAGAGAGAACAGTTATCAGGGGAAACAGTAGGGTGATTGGATGGGGAGAGAAAAGATGAGAAAGAAAAGTACAGAAAAAAGGGGGAGGCGAGAGAGAGAGGAGAAATATTCAACAAGATAATCATAATATTATGGTGATATTCTTCAGATTAGTATTTTCTGCATTAAAAATTGTAACGTGAATGGGGCAACTTGTACCATCTATTCCACATTTCCAAATTTGTATGGCATCACATGTAATAAATTTGCACATGAAAGACAAATGCCTACCAAACCCCTGTTAAGTAGAAATGTTTGAAAACTACTAAGTCTAGTTCAGAATTGTTTTTTCTTTGGGGTCAAACTAATTGTGCCCTAAAACTGTTCTCCTTTTGAACACAGGAAGAAAACAATGCCAGTGTCGACACCAAGCACAATGATGAGAAGGATGAAGGTGACAAAGAGGAGGACAGCAGTGGGGAGGAGCAGGACAACAGTGGGGAGGAGGAGACCAAAAACGAGGAGGATGAACTGGTGGGAACAGATGAGGAGGCAGCAGCTAAGGAAGAGGATCCACTTGAGGAGACTACAGAGCTTACTAGTGAGACTGGGGAGGAAGAGGAGGAGGTTATAGAGGCTGTAGTGGATGCTGAGTTGGTGGAGGACGGTACTCCAATGGACCTGGAGTCAGATGAGTCCAGCATCCAACTGGATCTGACACCAGAAGGACCAAAAGGAACCATCAAATTACTGGTGAGGACGCATAGAACTAATGGACCATGCTGGCATTCATAAGTTTGCTCTTTCACTGTCATGTTTCTCCTGATTTCTAGGAGGAAACTATTCATGCCATAGAGCAACAAAGTTGGGAAGTATACATTTTGTACTTGATTTTAGGGTTAGACCAGAAAAAATTGCTTTCCAAATTTATTTTGCAGGCAAGCATTATTTTTCTGTACCCATCTCAAGCAGCCACAGGCTTGTTTTTGTGTTCTTACATGTAGTTAATGAGAAGATTTATTTTCCAAATTGACAGAATCTTTTTCCCCCCAGAAAGCCATGTTGGGTATGGAGGAAGGGATGCACTGTCAGGAGGTGTGATTGAGAATTGACTGACAAGTTTTGTACAACAGACTGATTTTTGAAAGTAGTGCAACAGATGTCTTGAAAAGTGTGCTTTAGAGGACTTTGCATGTCATCGATTTTTTTCAGACTGGAGAAAAAGTGACAAGAAATTGAATGTTTGGCATGAGGTTGCAAATAATGCACTGTGTAAACTTTCTACAAATTCAGGAGATAAAAAAAATTGGCATGTCAGTTTGTATCCTTATATCAGGTAAGGTGTGTCCTTGTGTGACCTCTGACCTCCCATGGTGCCTTTGGGTGTGCAACAGAACAAGATTGAAGCATCATGAAAGTTCATCTGTGTTTGTAGCTACTTGTTTGAAGTTAAAACATTTGATCCAACACAAAGAAGTTTTCTCAGTTTCGACCAGTCACTCTGGTCTTTCTCAGTAGACTGACCCAGTGAGACTTGTCACATGGCTTCTTTGAAGTGTGGAGTCAACACAGTCTACTGAGGAAGACCAGAGTGACTGTTTGAAAGCTCTAGGTGAGAGAACTTTGTGTTGGAGCTAAAGTTTTAACTTTAAACAAGAGCATGTCTATCGCCCCCCCCCCCCACCTCTTAAGCAAGTACAGTTTTAAATTGACCTTCATGTATAAATAATGGCTGTCTTTGTGTTATACATTTACAGGGAAAGACGATGAATGTTCACGGATTCCGCATCTTGGACCAATCAGAAACCATTGTGGACCAGGGGGACCCCAACTCACACTGGGTGAGACTCACAGAATCCTTTCTGCTTTAGGCTTTGTCATTGCTGTTTGTTCAACTTTAGTTCTGTACATACTTTAGGTCTGTATCATTCTTTTCTTTTCTATCATGTGCTAATGTAACCAATAGCCTTGATTGTAACACTCCTGGCTAATCATTGGTTTACAGCAAAGTTGCAAAGTTCTAGCTACATGCAGAAGTCCTGGTGGTGGAAAGAAGATGCCAGTGTATTCTTCTCATAATCACTAATTCAGCACCAAGGACAGGGCCATGTATTGAGACCTGTATTTTTTATGTTGACTAATAATACTAAGATTGCATCACTCTGTCTCTAGTCTGTCAATCTGTCTCTGTCTCTAGCCACAAGAAAACCATGATTGTCTCTTTGTGACAATTTGGTGAAGTACAACATAGAACTGACTCTAACTAGTGTATTCAGAAAAAAAGAATGGCAAACATCACCACAGTCGCCCCTCCATGTTCAAGGCTTCTTTCTCCCCCTCCTTTGAACTTCAAAATGATCTAAGGAATTAAATTGTCTAAAGAAAGGAGCTCAGAACACATTCCTGTTACCACTAGTCCCTGTTCTAACCAGATCCCTGTTGATCCCACAGATCACAGTACAGGTGAAGGCCTCAGATCTGGATCAGGATCTACTACAGATGGGGGTGGTGAACTTTGAGGGGACGGTGGATCTGGACACCCTGAAGGAGGAGCTGGTAAGCACATCCACAGAACGTTCTGCACCTGCACAAAATTTGTAATGTATTATGCATGGCATTTTGCCAGAGCATCTACGTAATATAAGGTCATATTCGCTACAGAAACGTGTAAGGCTAACATCCTGTCTGTAGTTTCCAAATGTTATGTCAGAAATGATATCCTCTGCAACAGGCAAACCTTTGTTGCAACAGTGACCAAACATCCATTTGAAAACTGTGAAAAATCAGGGTTTCATGCAGGCACAGTACATTCTGTCAATGTGCTAAGCTGGTACATGTACTGCTTCCATGGATAGCTACATGTACAAGGGTCTCATTTAAGGTCCTGTCACAAATAACCTTCTCCAGACCGTGGTTGGGAGTTTGTTGGTGAGGTTGCCTACTGATCTTTAAAAGTCGTCTGAGCCAGGTGATTATGAATTTTGAAAATTGAAGTAAGAAAAGATATATTCTGCATGGATGTGATCAGAGGAGCAAACAGAGTAGAATACCACGGTTACTACCAACCCGGCAATGACCATTGTTGGGGATTGGTTGTGAGCAAAGTAGCAGAATGATTCTAAAATTTTGATGGGCTTGATACACAGTTGATATTTGCCAATGTAACTGGTGCTGTACAGGGAAAGATCATTGTAGCTTTCACTTGAATCACCATATGTTTCTCTATCATGGATGCTTTGTTTTGTGAACACCCTTTCCCTACATTATTTTTGAATTTTACTTTATTTTGTTGCAGAACATTGCTGAGAACAGTGCAGACAAGTTACTGGTAGGAGAGTCCTGTGATGACAAGAGTGTGGCTGTCCTCCAGGACTCTGCACCAAGTCCCTCCTTACCTGTCAACGGGCCACAAATCCCTGCTGCTAACCCTGGTAAGGCTCTTGTGTTGTGTTGTTTGTTTGTTTTATTTCAATTTCAATTTTCAATTTCATTCTAATGAAACAACATAGCAGGAGTATCTAGTGCACCTGAATTGCATTGACTTTATATTTTATACTTACTTACTTACTTATCCTCTTCGTCCCTTGTGAGACATAAGGCCATGACTTTCTTCCTCCATCTGGGTCTGTCCTGCGCCATGTTGTTGACACTTCTCCAGTTCAGACCCATGGCCGCCAGGTCGTCCGACACCGTTCTCCTCCATGTGGTCTTTGGTCTGCCTCTTTTCCTCTTTCCTTCTGGCCTCCAGCTAAGGGCGACTTTGGGGATCCTGTTGTCAGGCATCCTCAGTACATGCCCTAGCCACTTGAGTCTTCTGCCAGTGATCTCAGTGGTGAGTTTCCTACAGCCAGTTCTGTTGTAAAGTTCGGCGTTGGAGATCTTGTTTGGCCAGAAGACGTTGCAGATCTTACGTAGACAACTGTTGTGAAATGAGTTGATCTTCCTCATGTCTGTCTTCGTCATTCTCCAACTCTCCGAGCCATACAGAAGGACGGATTTCACATTGCTGTTGTAGAGTCTGATCTTGGTCGTGAGGCTATACTGCTTCGACTTCCAGATGGTTTGTAGTCGGCTAAAGGAACTTCTTGCTTTGTCCAGGCGGGTTTTAATGTCCTTTTGTGCACCATCTGTAGCACTCATAACACTTCCCAGGTAAGTAAAAGCGCCTACACCTTCCAGTGCCTCCCCGTCTATTTTGATGGGAGGGTTTGCTGGAGTGTTGATGTACATTACTTGTGTTTTCTTCTTATTAATGTATAAGCCTGTGCTTTTGCCACGGTCGCTTAAGCGGTCCGTCTTTTCCTGGAGTGATTTGCGAACAGATGAAAGGACGGCAAGATCGTCGGCAAAGTCGAGGTCCTCAAGGTAAGTGTTCAGTGTCCATTTGATGCCACGAGGACGGTCTGACGTGGTTTCTCTCATTACCCAGTCAATAGTGATGAGAAACAGGATAGGGGAGAGGATGCAGCCCTGTCTTACACCAGACTTTACGTAGAAAGGTTTGGACAAACTGCTTTCCGTGATGACACTACATTCGAAGTGTTCGTAGAATTTCCCTATCATGGAAACTATCTTCTGTGGAATCCCATAGGCTCTTAGTATCTTCCACAGGCTCTCCCTATGTACACTATCAAAAGCCTTTTGAAAGTCAATAAAATTTATCAGCAGAGGGGAGTTCCATTCAACACACTGTTCAATGATATTTCTGAGAGCAAAGATCTGGTCTGAGCAACCACGAGCTTTACGAAAACCTGCTTGTTCTTCTCTCAACTTGGTGTCTAGGGCACTGTCAATCCTTATAATCCAATCATTATATTTTATGGATACACAGAAAAAACACAGGGTAATTACAATACGGATACACAAATAGGACATGGAAACACAAAGACATTAAGCCTGCATCTGCATATTTATCCACAGCCTTTGTTGAAATTACTTTTTTTTTTCTCAGCTCCAATGGTGAAGACACATGCGTCTCCAGGCTGGCCGACGCCCGACGACTGCCATCGCATCAAGAAGATAAACGTGCAGACCTTCACCAGCACCTGGCTGTCTGTTACTGCTAAGGACGTCAAGTGAGTAGTTTTACACATGGACCAGAGTAGAAAGGTAACATTTGCAAAGCAAATGCATCATGTTCACCTATGCATATAGTCTGCTCTGTTAATTCTTACTCAAACACATTCATATACTGTATGGAGTCTAAATCCTTCCTGCTATAAAATTGCAAAATGAAGAATAGTTACCATGGTGACAGACGCCTGGTTCAGGTCATTGACCTTATTTGTTTGGAGAAGAAGAAAAGGAAGAAACTGAGCAAAAACAATATGTTTTCATTTGGTAAACATAAATATATTATAGGTGTCAAAGTGGTCATGGTTGTTGACTCAGAACCTGAAGGTTCTGGGTTCGAATCCCTTGCAAGCCTTCGTGATGCGAACAAAAGTTAGTAAAATCTCAGTTGTACTGAATATGCATCTTTTCACCCTCAAAGTTTGTTAACTGACGTGACTGCATTCCTATCTTTGCAGCATCCACGATCACATCAACTTCAAATCCAAATTGTCAGGCCCCCTTGTGGAACCTGTGTGTACTGCAGATGTAGTCAGTATGCACACCCTGGACCACCTAGACGGTGTGGCCAACCGGTCCTCTCTGAACTACGGGCCTGAACTGGGACTGAAGGAAGTTCTTCAGGTAAGGCAACAGTTGTAGTTTGTCAAACAGTGCAGCAATTAGTTTGTTATCTGACTCGTTATGCCTTACATGTACTTTGTGGAAGTCTTGCTAATGATATATAAACTGAAGTTTCTTTGTTGAAACACTGCGAACTAAAAGGTTGTTCTTTAAACCTCATGCCTTTTTTTTACTCTTCCCCCCTCAGACGGTTGGTGGTGACATGCAGCAGGCAGAAGAAGTCGGGACACGGATAGCAAAAGCTTTAGCAAAGGTTGATATTACTAACTGTACTTTTTTAGTTAGCAGATCTTACAAAATACATGTAGATCAGAAAAGGTTCTTAGACCTTCTTGCCCGATGCAAATACAACAATTGAGGCATCTACGTATGTACATTTTATATGGTTTTTGGTTTAGTGGCCAAATGTTATATGCTTGACATTTTGCTATAGTTTTTATGGAACGTTGAGTTTGAAATGCTATGTGGCTTGATTTCTTTACTGCATGTCCATGATACATGTACTTCAGTTTTGTAAAAGTTTTTATGGAACGTAGTTGAAATGTCATGTAGCTTGATTTCTTTACTACTTGTACATGACAATGTACTGTTATGTTTTCTATTCTTAGAATCAAACATCCTGGATCCTGCTGAGCATGGCGGCCCTGTACTGGCGGGTGGAAGGGAACGGTGAAATGGCGATAGATTGCCTACGTCAGGCACTGCACTTCTCCCAGCACAGAATGAAGGTAAGCTGTGCTGATACATTTATACAGGAAAACAATCTTTGACTTGATGAGTTTGTGTTAGTTGGTATTTGTATTGCTGAATACTGTAAATCACTTTATATGTGCAGCGGCAAAATTTTTGGGTCTGATATAAATGGACATGTTTGCTATATACTGCATACTACAATTGTACATGTATATGTTTGCGGTGGCAGCAGGTGCAGAGGAAAGAAAGTCAGCAAATTATTTGTACAGAAGTGACCACGAAAACCGAGACTATAAAAGTACCGCAAATATAAAGTGATTTACAGTACACTATTATGATCATGATATTAGCTCTAGTGTTAGTTATGACGAAGCAAGGTTACAAACATACACCCCTTCTTCACATGGCCCTGAGTAGTATCTATTGCTGTACCAAGGAAAGTCGCTAGGGGGTCCAAAATCTAATCATTTTCTTTGATAGGTCAAGGTCTAACCACTTACCAAATGTTATGACGATCTATCCAAAGCCTCTTGAGATATGGTGGTAAACCAAGTCTTAATGCTACCAAAAACATAACCTTCTAGGCAAAGATAAATAATATATTGTGCTGCACAGGAACACAGGGTACCCTACAGTAATATAGAGCATGTAATGTGTTGTACCCCAGGATGTTGCGCTGATCGGAATGGCGAACATTTTCCACCGGACGGGCCTGTGGCACGACGCACGCGTGGTGGCCCAGATGGCGGTCGAGATCGCCCCACATCTCGTCGTCAACCACTTCACACTTGCCAACATTTATGCTGCTATGGTGAGTCTGTCTGTCTCCATGTGTTGGATTCTAGGAGAACTTAGGGAAATGTCATTGGTACTAGATCGTGGTGTTGTGTGGCATAGCGGTAGTGTCTTCAGCTCGAAACCAAGAGGTACCGGGTTTGAACCCCACCTTGTCACCGATCTTGTGCCCTTGAGAAAGGCACTATACACGACTTTTCTCACTTCACTCAGGTGTAAATGAGTACCTAACTTTGATTAGGGACGTCCCTCGGATAGGATGTTAAGTGGAGGTCCCATGTTTGGGGAGAGCCACACCCCACGCATGTTAAAGATCTCTGGAAAAAGAGTAGTGGCATACCCTGGTGTGCGATGGTCCAAATACTCATCTGATTATTCACTACGGACTCCAGGAAGAGTAGTGTGAAATTCACACTAATGGAGATCCTAAACAAACAAACAAACAAACAAACAAACTAGTAGTATAGATAAGTTACTTGAAATGGTCACCAAAATATTTCCTAGCTTTATTCACGTCCCCAGCCTACAAAAAAACTGCATTTCAACACCTCCCAATTCATTCATACTCCACTTCACACAGAAAAGAAATCAGACCCAACAATAACAATACTAAAAGTAGCAGTAGTAGTCATTTTACTGTTTATTATTATTTTATCATGTTTTGTTATCTATGTCCTTGCGATTAGCCCTCAGACATGATGAATTCACAAGTAAGTAGATCCTAAAGCATTATGATTTGTCTTATATCATTTTTTTCCAATCTCGATATCTGACAGTTTTCCACTTCAGACATTGGTATCCATACATTTTCAACTACATACTCCCTTACTCTCCAACTCATTTCCTGGCTGATTTCTTAGCTGGTGTGATTTTGCCCTCTGTTTTACTGTAATGCACTTAATTATATGTTCACGGTAGCAAAAGTTTGCAGTCTGAGAAAAATGGACATGTTCGCAAAACTATATGTTTGTATGTGGTGGTGGCAGGTGCAGAAAAAAGAAAGTCGGAAAATCATTTGTTCACGATAATAATAGAATCTTTACTTGCATGTTCATGCCCATGGGGCTACATTATGTTTTGTAAATGCATACATTAGAGTGTGATGTTGCATGTGTATCATACTGAGTAACATAATACAAAGGATAGGAAGATAAAAGAACAACATTATGATAAAAGTCTCACTAGGGATTACTAGAGAATATATTCTAACTAATCTACAGGTAGGTCTAGAAGATTTCTTCTCTTTTTTTAAAGCAACTGGAGATAAATTCACATAGTTTTTTTATTGTGTGGTCATTACTGGTGGACATGAGATGACAGAATACCTCTTTCTTTGCTCTACCTTTATACAGTGTGTCTATTGTTCTAAATAGTATGCCACATTTGGCGTCGTACAATTTAATGATAAGTTCGCATTACAGAAGTGACCAAGTAGAACATAAAAGCACCGTGAAAAAAATCGTGAATAGACCCATTTGACTTTCACGGATCGCATAAACTGCTTACGTCACAGGGGGGACACTTCGAATAGAAACTACGTCACAGGGGGGACATTTCGAAAGTTCCTTTCGCATAAACTACATACGTCACAAAACAAAATAACCTTAAATTATTGTACGGAATGCCACCATACAAAGTTGGTGCCTGTTCTCCTGTCATTTCCGCATATATTACCGAGAAAATAGACACTTACCTACCATTTAGTAAAAAAATGATCTGCCAGGGGGGACACCGAAAGCGCAAGCCACATTCGACTTCAGCGTTCTACAATGATGTTCTTTCGAAATGTCCCCCCTGTGACGTAAGCAGTTTATGCGATCTGTGAAAGTCGAATGGGTCTGTTACATTTCTACAGTATGTATCGCTGCTCATTGTCCCCTTGCCTGTGTTTCCCAGGGCGACATTGACCGAGCGCTGAAGTACTATGAGCTGACGGTTATCCTCCAGGGAGAGTTTGCCCCCGCCATGGAGCGTCTCCGGACCCTGCAGTGTAACATCCTCATGAAGAGACAGAGAGAAGCAGAGAAGGACAAACAGAAAGATGCCAGAGGATAGTCCACACAACATTCTCAATCTTCACATCTTCCTTATTAAAGCATCATGAGATAGCATTGACCGAAATCAAGTCTTTGTTTTAAGTTTAGATCATCCAAGCAGATACTATGGAGCAGTTTCCTGCATGTTGAACAGTCGCCTGCCATACAATTGTAAATCATGCAGAAACAAACATGAACATGAAAAAAACAACTTTTTAGCTTTTTTCCAAGGCCAGTATTTTTTTCATCTAGTCTTATAAAAATCTACTGTAACAGTATATTTTGATACACAGGCGAAATTTTCTTGCCTTGGCGAGACTATGTTGCATCATGACATCCAAACTCACAGTAACAAGCTTATCTTCTGTTCTTCAGCTGTCAAGCAAGTACACAATATCCAATCAGCACAGCAAGGCGTTGAACACTCTGTCAATCACAGTAATGTCTTCATCTAGTTGACCAATCACATTGAGTAAGGGACAAAAGGTTCTGTCATACTCTTTCAGGAAACTACCACAGAATATGGTCAGTCTAGTAGCTTCTCAGGAGCAAGCAAATGCCTCTGTGAAGTGTTGGATTTCATTTTTGTAAAAAAATTCAAGGGATACTAACTGATGATTTTTTTAATATATAGATTTTGCAGTAAGAATTTGGTGCATCTACATTATATGTGTTATCCACACAAGGGCAAACCTCAGTGTGTTACAAAGACTCCAAAAAGTGTGACGATAATTCATACAGTAACTGTATTTTCTTATTCATGTGGGGTTTTATCAGGTTATTATGTTAATTCTTAGAAATGGTTGAGAGAATATAAGGTCAGAGGTAAAAGGTGAGAGGTAAAAGAGCAAAGGTGAGGTCACACAGCTATGTACATTGGGAGTGCAATAAAAGAATATTCAATGTTTGATTTCTTGTCTGCCTTTTCATTAATGTTTTGATATTTGTACCATGCTTGATATCTGCACTATCTGTGCATGGTAGATAAAGATATGAATATCTTAATGATAGAATATATGAATAAGTATAATGAACAAAACCTGAAAACAACAGTTGAAGAAGAAGTTTTGGATGAATCTATTTAAATCTTTATTGACTTCTTTTTTTTTCAAAATCAACACTCTAACACATTTCTAAACCATATGCAATTAGTTAACAATTGTACTTACTGTAAAATAACCTTGCACCATAAAGCCACCATAGTTTAGTTTAGATAGTTTATACCATATACAACATCCACTTTTACAATAACCAACTTGATTGATACATACATTATTTTCGCTGTTAAAATAACATTATATAATTTTCTCTCTCACAAATTAGATAGATCAAAATACCGTATTTACAGATGTTGACTTGTGCGACAAAGTTAGTGTTTTTTTTAACAAAAAGCAGCTGTTTATAATGGCCAGAAGTAAATAATACTTGAGCCCATTCTCCGAAAAAAAATCAAGTCTGCGTACGCGTGTTCGGGCACGAGAGGTTGTCTCAGTTAAAAATGATTGTCTGGAGTTTGTACCACTTAGTATCCAATATAGGCTTCCCAAGGCCACTCGGTCTTACCTATTGGAAACAGTCTTGCAGAAAAGGTCTACATTTTATACCAAGGCCACACATGCGACAGCATGTGAAGCTAACGGAAACGAACTAGTTTCCACGAGTTCTCAGAAAAATATTTATTCATAAAGAATAAGAATTTGAGGAAAGTTTGTTTATGAAAATAACGTTGCATTTTGTTGCACACGCCATTGTGAGCTAGGCTCATCGGACGTTTTTTCTCGACATATTGTTTATATAGCTTTTAGCATTTAATACCTTATTGTTCACCTCCAATGCTATTCGTGGAACTTGGGTCTAAAATCCAATAGGCTTAGAATTAAATGCTGAAATGCAAAATAATACACAAACACATATTTTATGACTTTAGTTTTTCTGGGAGCCTATGTAGGACACCGATTCTTCTGTCACAATAGTTGGAAGATTGTAACATTCGTTTTGGTTTTGTCCAGTGCAGTGTACATTTATCGCAGGTTCGTAGCGTGCGTCCCTGATATCCCCTACAACCTGGGCATTGACGTAGTCCGGAATGGTTTCATACTGGTGGTTTTCAATGTCGTCTTCCGTTGCTCTAGATCCGCTTCCAGTACGGTTTCTAACAAAATCCACCTCTGCTTGTGCATTGTAATAGTCTGGGATCGTCTCGTAGCCGTTTGCAGCGTTTACATCACTGAATTCGTCGTCATTCTCATAGTGATTGCTCTCGTTGCGTTCGAAAACCTGGAGAGAATTCCAGCCTTTGTTTAAAACTGGAGCCGATGTCTGAATTCCGGATAGCAGGATGGCTGCTTGAACGCCGCTAACGTCAGACACTTGAACAAAGTTTTTCAGCCACTTGTTGCGCTCACTTCGCAAGCAAAGATACAGCACAAAGGCAATAGCGACGACTGTCACGACATGGCTGCAGACGATTGTGACATTGATGTGCAAAGTAACTGGTTGGATGACGAGGTCATTTTTGTCATGAGATGACAACAGGTAAACGTAGTCAACTTCCTTCAAACCGTCGCTACTTGGGCGAGCCGAGGTTGTTATTATGTTGTCTTTTTGCCCTGCGTTAGAAGTCACGGTCAAAAAGGCGGTGTCTGTTCCACTGGGCATGTGTGGTGCTGTGACTTCGCAAGTATAGCTGCCTGAATCCAGCACTGAAACTCGCGTGAGCCGCAAAACCGAAACGCAGCTTCTGTTGTAGTTTGAGAGGAATTCCCGCCTGTCTTCGCGGAACAAGTCTTCTAGTGTCCAGGTTTCAACCGACGAAGTGGTACTGTTTGGCTGAACCCAGGTAAAGTTGAGTCCCGCCATGCAGTCCGTCTGGCAGGTGAAGGATACACCATCGCCGGCTCTCACGGTCTGGTTCCCGGGGACTACTTTCACTACTGCCGGTTCCTGACATCGGAAATCTTCGACAGTGGCGATCTCATCAAGCCAACTGCTCGTTTTATCACAGTTGATATCCCAGGCTTTCGACGTGGATCCCTCTGCAATCCATCCTCGGAACCCCCACATCTTACAGTCACAGATGACAGGATTTTGCTGATTCCGAATTGAAACGGAGAAAATGTGCCTGATTTGCCACAGATCGACAGGAAAAAGTTGTATAGCATTTGTGTCTAATGAAACAAATTTTAAAGTTGAAAGCAAACCCAGTGCTAAAGGTAGGCGTTTAAGACGATTTCTGTCCAATCTCAGAGAAAACAGATCTTGAAGCCCAACGAAGGCATACACATGGATGTAGTCAATGACGTTGTTCTGCAGGTTCAAATATTTCAGCTTTCTTAGACCCCAGAAAGTCTTTTCTTGGAGGCGCTGAAGGCTGTTGTGTTGAAGTACTAGGGTAGAGATACTGTTGACATGTTGAAAGCACATCGGAATAAGTTCTTTGACTCGGCATCGTTGTATCGTGATTTCTTCTAGATGAAGTAGCGAGGGAAAATCCTCTTTCTTTATTGACTCGATGTTTTGTAAGAATAGGAAAAGCCTACCTGTGTTCGATGGCAATGAGTACGGGATAGTTGTATAGATATGTGTTGCTGTTTCACCACACCTAACGTGAAGTAACATGCGTACTCTTACACAGACACAATGGTTTAAGTCGACGCAGGTGTCGCCGAAAACAGTGAAAGGCACCATACAGAGAAGTAGAAGGCCTATAAATATTTTCATGTTGATTCAATCACACGCAAGTGGACTGCAGCTGGTAGAAGTGATTCTATAAAAGCAGAGAAGAGACTCGTTGATACGTACTTTATGTTTTCCTCTTCGCAGGCGTCTTGGAGCTGTGGAGTTTATCTCTTGCGAGGAGCGCTTATACGCAATGGAAGCGTTTTTACACAGGGTAAGGCTCAGTACTCCGGGCAGTACTCCGGGCACCGTAGAGATACCAGCGAGTCCACGATGGTCTGACTACCCAGGCTGAGCCACAGACAGTGATGTTTGTGTCACACTAATAAGACTAATAAGCGCCTGAGACATGTAGTGCCGACTGGATGTAGGAGAATACCAGTGACAACACTCACCCAGGAATCGTAACTGCCAAAGGATCGATCTAAAACACAAACGCAGGCGACTGGCAATGGCAAACTGGTTCTGGAAAGGACTAATAATTTCCTGCTTGTCGTCATCCGTCACGCAACAAACGCATAGCACACACGTGTACATTAGTCTGGAGACCTACATAGTACTGCAATTGAATAAAAAGGAATATTCATGTAAATAAATGTCATGAAATGAACTCTATTTCGGATGCAAGAGGCATGCGTAGTGCGAACCCCAGATAGACGTGTATCTAGACGGGGTTAGAGAAGCTGGTCACTTTTTATCTTTGTTTTTATAATTATGATTAAAGCATCATGGAGATATCATTGACCGAAATCAAGTCTTTGTTTTAAGTTTAGATCATCCATGAAGATACTATGGAGCAGTTTCCTATATGCTGAAAAGCCACCTGCCATACAATTGAAAATCATGCAGAAACATACATGAACATGAAAAAAACTTTCAGCTTTTTTCAAAGGCCAGTATTTTGTTCATCTAGCCTTATAAAAACCTACAGTATATTTTGATACACAGGCGAAATTTTCTTGCCTTGGCAAGACTATGTTGCATGCTGACGTACAAACTTACAGTAACAAGCTAATCTTCTGTTCTTCAGCTGTCAATCAAGTACACAATATCCAATCAGCACAGCAAGGCGTTGAACACTCTGTCAATCACAGTAATGTCTTCATCTAGCTGACCAATCACATTGAGTAATGGACAAAAGGTTCTGTCTTACTCTTTCAGGAAACTACCACAGAATATGGTCAGTCTAGTAGCTTCTCAGGAGCAAGCAAATGCCTCTGTGAAGTGTTAGATTTCATTTTTGTAAAAAAATTCAAGGGATACTAACTGATTTTTTTAATATATAGATTTCGCAGTAAGAATTTGGTGCATCTACATTATATGTGTTATCCACACAAGGGCAAACCTCAGTGTGTTACAAAGACTCCAAAAAGTGTGACGATAATTCATACAGTAACTGTATTTTCTTATTCATGTGGGGTTTTATCAGGTTATTATGTTAATTCTTAGAAATGGTTGAGAGAATATAAGGTCAGAGGTAAAAGGTGAGAGGTAAAAGAGCAAAGGTGAGGTCACACAGCTATGTACATTGGGAGTGGAATAAAAGAATATTCAATGTTTGATTTCTTGTCTGCCTTTTCATTAATGTTTTGATATTTGTACCATGCTTGATATCTGCACTATCTGTGCATGGTAGATAAAGATATGAATATCTTAATGATAGAATATATGAATAAGTATAATGAACAAAACCTGAAAACAACAGTTGAAGAAGAAATTTTGGATGAATGACTTTAAATCTTTATTGACTTCTTTTTTTCAAAATCAACACTCTTACACATTTCTAAACCAAATTAGTTAATTGTATATGTACTTACTGTAAAATAACCTTGCACCATAAATCCACCATAGTTTAGTTTAGATAGTTTATACCATATACAACATCCACTTTTACAATAACCAACTTAGCGTTGATACATACATTATTTTCGCTGTTAAAATAACGTTATATAGTTTTCTCTCTCACAAATTAGATAGATCAAAATACCGTATTTACAGATGTTGACTTGTGCGACAAAGTTAGTGTTTTTTTTTCAATAAAAAGCAGCTGTTTATAATGGCCAGATGAAATAATACTTGCGCCCATTCTCCGAAAAAAAATCAAGTCTGCGTGCGCGTGTTCGGGCACGAGAGGTTGTCTCAGTTAAAAATGATTGTCTGGAGTTCGTACGACTTAGTATCCAATATAGGCTCCCCAAGGCCACTCGGTCTTACCTATTGGAAACAGTCTTGCAGAAAGGGCAAGGCCACACATGCGACAGCATGTGAATTACTAACGGAAACGAACTAGTTTCCACGAGTTCTCAGAAAAATATTTATTCATAAAGAATAAGAATTTGAGGAAATTTTGTTTATGAAAATAACGTTGCATTTTGTTGCACACGTCATTGTGAGCTAGGCTCATCGGACGTTTTTTCTCGACATATTGTTTATATAGCTGTTAGCATTTTATACCTTATTGTTCACCCCCAATGCTATTCGTGAAACTTGGCTCTAAAATCTAATAGGCTTAGAATTAAATTCTGCAATGCTAAATACTACACAAACACATATTTTATGGCCTTAGTTTTTCTGGGAGCCTATGTAGGACACCGATTCTTCTGTCACAATAGTTTGAAGATTGTAACATTCGTTTTGGTTTTGTCCAGTGCAGTGTACATTTATCGCAGGTTCGTAGCGTGCGTCCCTGATATCCCCTACAACCTGGGCATTGACGTAGTCCGGAATGGTTTCATACTGGTGGTTTTCAATGTCGTCTTCCGTTGCTCTAGATCTGCTTCCAGTGCGGTTTCTAACAAAATCCACCTCTGCTTGTGCATTGTAATAGTCTGGGATCGTCTCGTAGCCATTTGCAGCGTTTACATCACTGAATTCGTTGTCATTCTCATAAACCTGGAGAGAATTCCAGCCTTTCTTCAAAACTGGAGCCGATGTCTGGACTCCGGATAGTAGGATGGCTGATTGAACGCCGCTAACGTCAGACACTTGAACAAAGTTTTTCAGCCACTTGTTGCGCTTTCGCAAGCAAAGATATAGCACAGAGGTAATAGCGACGACTGTTACGACATGGCTGCAGACGATTGTGACATTGATGTGCAGGGTGACGGGTTGGATGACGAGGTCATTTTTGTCATGAGATGACAACAGATAAACGTAGTCAACTTCCTCCAAACCGTCGCTACTTGGGCGAGCCGAGGTTGTTATTATGTTGTCTTTTTGCCCTGCGTTAGAAGTCACGGTCAAAAAGGCGGTGTCTGTTCCAGTGGGCATGTGTGGTGCTGTAACTTCGCAAGTATAGCTGCCTGAATCCAGTACTGAAACTCGCGTGAGCCGCAAAACCGAAACGCAGCTTCTGTTGTAGTTTGAGAGGAATCCCCGCCTGTCTTCGCCGAACAAGTCTTCTAGTGTCCAGGTTTCAACCGACGAAGTGGTCCTGTTTGGCTGAACCCAGGTAAAGTTGAGTCCCGCCATGCAGTCCGTCTGGCAGGTGAAGGACACACCATCGCCCGCTCTCACGGTCTGGTTCCCGGGGACTACCTTGACTCCTGCCGGTTTCTGACATCGGAAATCTGTGGCAATCTGAACAAGCCAACTGCTCGTTTTAACACAGTTGATATCCCAGGCTTTCGACGTGGATCCTTCTGCAATCCATCCTCGGAACCCCCACAGCTTACAGTCACAGATGACAGGATTTTGCTGTGTCCGAATTGAAACGGAGAAAATGTGCCTGATTTGCCACAGATCGACAGGAAAAAGTTGTATAGCATTTGCGTCTAATGAAACAAATTTTAAAGTTGAAAGCAAACCCAGTGCTAAAGGTAGGCGTTTAAGACGATTTCTGTCCAATCTCAGAGAAAACAGATCTTGAAGCCCAACGAAGGCATACACGTGGATATAGTCAATGACGTTGTTCTGCAGGTTCAAATATTTCAGATTTCTTAGACCCCAGAAAGTCTTTTCTTGGAGGCGCTGAATGCTGTTGTGTTGAAGTTCTAGGTTGGTGACACTATTGACATGTTGAAAGCACATTGGAATTAGTTCTTTCACTTGACATCGTTTTATCGTGATTTCTTCTAGATGAAGTAGCGAGGGAAAATCCTCTTTCTTTATTGACTCGATGTTTTGTAAGAATAGGAAAAGCCTACTTGTGTCTGATGGCAATGAGTACGGGATAGTTGTATAGATATGAGTTGCTGTTTCACCACACCTAACGTGAAGTAACATGTGTACTCTTACACAGACACAATGGTTTAAGTCGACACAGGTGTCGCCGAAAACAGTGAAAGGCACCATACAGAGAAGAAGAAAGCAGGTAAACGCTTTCATGTTGATTCAATCACACGCAAGTGGACTGCAGCTGGTGAAAGTGATTCTATAAAAGCTGAGAAGAGAATCGTTGATACGTACTTTTTGTTTTCCTCTTCGCAGACTTTCTGGACCTGTGGAGGTTTTTTTGGGGGGGGGGGCGCTTATACGCAAGGGAAGCGTTTTTTTTAACACAGGGTAAGGCTCTCTCGTTCGCTCCTCCAACACCTGACGACAAAGTCTCTCCTCGAATACAGATGCTGTCCCGTAGGCTAACTAAAATGAAACCGACCCGGCATATGCATGCGCTAATGGACCTGGGCGGGCGGGCAGTACTCCGGGCACCGTAGATATACCAGCGAGTCTACGATGGTCTGACTACCCAGGCTAAGCCACAGACAGCGGTGTTTGTGTCACACTAATAAGACTAATAAGCGCCTGAGACATGTAGTGCCGACTGGATGTAGGAGAATACCAGTGACAACACTCACCCAGGAATCGTAACTGCTAAAGGATCGATCTCAAACACAAACGCAGGCGGCTGGCAATGGCAAACTGGTTCTGGAAACGACTAATAATTTCCTGCTTGTCGTCATCCGTCACGCAACAAACGCGTTTCACACACGTGTACATTAGTCTGGAGACCTACATAGTACTGCAATTGAATAAAAAGGAATATTCATGTAAATAAATGTCATGAAATGAACTCTATTTCGGATGCAAGAGGCATGCGTAGTGCGAACCCCAGATACACGTGTATGTACACGGAGTTAGAGAAGCTGGTCACTTTTTATCATTGTTTTTATTATGATTATCATCATTATTATTATTAGTAGTAGTAGTAGTAGCAGCAGCAGCAGCAGCAGTAGTAGTAGCAGTAGTAGATATACATGTAGTAGTAGTAGCAGCAGCAGTAGTAGTAGTAGTAGTAGCAGCAGCAGTAGTAGTAGTAGTAGTGGTAGTGGTAGTAGTGGTAGTAGTAGTAGTAGTAGTAGTAGTAGTAGTAGTAGTAGTAGTAGTAGTAGTAGCAGCAGTAGTAGTAGTAGTAGTAGTGGTAGTAGTAGTAGTAGTAGTAGTAGTAGTAGTAGTGGTAGTAGTAGTAGTAGTAGTAGTAGTAGTAGTAGTAGTAGTAGTAGTGGTAGTAGTAGTAGTTCTTTTTTATTTTTAATCTCATGGGTCACTACATAAAAGACACAAAGCCACTTGAGGTTAAGACTTACTTATATACTGATTTTTACTTGTTGCTGACTGGCACTGGCGTAGAAATCATTTCAAAATTCTCTCAGGTTTTCCCAATATAGTCACCCCCTTCATGCATGTTAAGATTACAATCTATCCATTGCAATGCGTGTGAATTGATACAGAGATACACATTTATAAGCACGCGTCTAGCTGATTCAGTTCATAGCATGCTATGGTTATCTAGAAAGTACTATGGTATCACCCAACTAGAAAATACTATGATATCACCTAGACAGAAAATACTATGGTATCACGTAGCCAGAAAATACTATGGTATCACGTAGCCAGAAAATACTATCCGATGGTATCACCAAGCTAGAAAATGCTATAATATCACCTAGGTAGAAAATGCTATGGTATCACCTAGCTAGAAAATACTATGGTATCACCTAGCCAGAAAATACTATGGTATCACCTAGCCAGAAAATACTATGGTATCACCTAGCCAGAAACTACTATGGTATCACCTACATGTAGCTAGAAAAAATATTAGGGTCATAACGCCTCCCGAGCCTGGAGTCAGTACCGCAAGGACAGAAGTATCCAATTTTAACGCCTGGGCAGTTCGGGTGATTGAATCGGAGCGGGCAGGGCCCAGGCGCTAGCTGGGCAGATTTGAATCCGTAATCCGACACAGACGGCTGCAGCTAGCGGCGAGGGCCTGGCTGGAGGGCAGGGGCCACAGGTTGGGTGTGTCGTGGAGAGGCTGTTACTGTTACAGTATTAGACTGAGAGCTTTTGGACACAGCCACAAGTATTATAAGCTGACACTGAACCACGCGCTAGCTCCTAAGACGATCATTAGGAATACCGGATTGAATGCGTACCCGTAAACTGGTACATCTGAATTCGACCAAGCCGAAGCTGTATGGAAGGTACGTTGGAACCATGAGCAATGATAAACAATGCATGGCAAATGAGTACTTTCTGTTTTCTATTCAAGTAGGTATAGCTCGTATTGTAATAAGCTCGCCTCACAGTTACATCTCTTTGTCTAATTCTACAATCATCAGAGTGCTATGTGTCAGCAAGAAAGGTGCTAGTTGTTTAGTGTATGGTCTCAGTAGAGACATCATTTATGCCTAAGGCAGTTTTCAACAGTGTACCGGAATGCTAAAAACGGTATTATTCGTTCGAGCTAATTACGTACAGCAATTCCCATCACAGGTCCAAATACACGGAGCATGGTAGAGAAACATAAATCTGCACCAAGTGCATATAGCTAATGCACAGCCTTCTGTCGATATAAGCCATGGGCAGACGTGACAGTTTAACCGTTTTGGAACGTATATCTACTATAACGAAGTATTGAACAGGTAAAACATGCCTGAACCTATCGGGAACACGGTGGAAAGGGTCACAGAAGGCTGCGCATGGGTTAACGTTAATCGATCATGAACAGTGTTTGTTTTCGTCAGATGTGACGACCATGGTGTCATTAACAATGGCTGTTAGCATTGGGTATACAGCATGCAAAGGCGTGATAAAGATAGGTCTCTTGTCTGTGTAATGTTGGTGAGTTGAAGAGTACTAAGTTAGATTGTAGGAATAAAACAGCGATACAAAAAACTTTGGGACTTCAAAATCAGTTTGATAAGAAATCATGTCCAGTGAATTGAATTGAGGAATGTAAGACACGTTTTCATTCCCATTACCGTGTAATGTAAAAAATATGACTTTACCTTCATGTTATATAATGAGAAAGAATCACAAAAAACGGTATAATTTCTGGATCATTTTTCAATTCACTTAAATACCTCTAGCTCTATGCCTAGAAGTGGCCAAAAATAATTGGCCGTGCACTGAGCGATACCGTTAAAAAAAATTAATATTGACCCAAACCAAATGAAACTTCAACAAGTCAGCATGAAGAAAACGACACCCGTTACGATATTGTATTGAATTCTCTGTTAAAACAAATAATAAAAAAAAGTATGGACTATGTAACTCCGCTGGAATTGAATGAAGAATATTATCAACAATTATAGGATCTCCCACAGCATTACGGTAGAACCACTCTCCTATTTACGCGTCCCTTCCCGGGAATTGATTCCGGGAATCAGCGCTAATGGAAAGCGCCATAACGATGATGGGTCCGTGGCCGTGCGGGGTCCCTGTTCAATACGCGCGGTACCTGATGGATGGGTCGGGGTGTCGTGGTTATGTGACGGATGTCTCCAGTAATCCTTCCGACTGAGTCTGGTGTTTGTGTCGGGGATATGCCGGGTCACAGGGAGACGCGTTGGTTGGTTGGTTGAAACTTTGCAATGCTTCAGTATATTTTTTATTGTATTGACGTTTATTCATGATACCATTGAATCAAATGGTAAGTACTGCCACAAAACCTGGTATTTATCGATGTTATACCTATAGCTACTTGACCTTTTCTTAAAAAAAAACACAAATTAAAAGGGACTATTCAGTAATTTTTTTCCCAGTAAACCCTGTGATTTACTTTCTTTTCTGTGGTAACGTGGTCTTTCTTGAATACGAGAGACTAACGAAAAGATGACACGAATTCATTAAAGAAGGTATTAAAGTACAGCAGAAATTCTCTGTGAACAAATGGTGATGCAGACGTTTCTTTCACCTTCTAGGCGTGAATATGTTTGCCCTCATTGAAGTCTGTGCTTGTTTCTCCCGCCCCATACTTCACGCTTGGTTTGCGGAGTTGCTGCGGTACATTCATCTTACCGTACTTATGATGCCAGGCCAGGCCTTCTGTACCGCGATACATAATTACAGAATGAAAGGTCAAACGTAATTCATCGGATCCCATTCCTGTTTAATCCATTATATCCATGATAAACACCCCCAGCGCCCATATATTGTACGTAATAAGACAGAGCTTTCAGATAAAATTATATTGGTGCCGTCCACGGTACTGAAAAATCTGCTGGTAGACGAACTCACTGGACATTTTTGTGTAACGGATATCTTTAGTAAGGCCATGTTGATTTGATTATATGGATGACATTCGCGCGTGCATTTTGTCCGTTTCAAAAAAAAGTTTTCGACCACACTGTAAATCGACAGTACAAAATGAGCGAATATATGTCGTATGTTGCAAATAAAGTATTGGAAAACGATACTAATGTCATAGAATGCCGTAATCAATTCAGGAAGAGGGAAATGTGAAGATATAAAGATGTCTATTATTATTCGCCATTCCATACTCTGTGTGTTTAGTCATTTGTTCAACCTTTATGACCGCTTAGATTTTTTTTGCCAAACTTTTTTTTATTCGCACGCTCGCGTCAGTTTTGGGGTTCCCAGAGGATGTCATCCATATAATCAAATCGACATGGCCTAAGTTAAAACATAGAGTCACCAAAAACCGTTCATTATAATTAAGAATAATACTATATATAAATTTATGCCAGGCTCTTTTTTTAAAGTTTTGGCTTTGTCTGACCTTTGATATCTTAAGGAGTAACTGTATTTCGTGTTAAGCAGTTAGATCTAAATGACGACAGCTCACTTGCTATGTCATGGTTACAGCCAGGATAAAACTATTATTCAGTTATATCGATAGAACTGATGTTGAGCCACGTTGAAGTATTGCTCCATACATTCTCTCAAGGTACTTGTACATTCGTGTCACGCGTGGACAATTTTCATCACCGTGCGATGAAACGAGCCACATACACAACCATCCCCAGCGTACCGCCCACCATTAGTACACCAGTCTAATGCTGTCGGAAGTTTGAAATGGCTGTTTCGGCACGGCACATTTCAATTTGCCTTTAAATGATCAAATCGGGCGTGGGGAAATGGACTAAAATGGAGCGTGTCAAACCTCGTTACGTTTGACGTCAAGGAGGTGGGGCCGGTTCTGCGGCATCTTGTAGGGAACCGGGGCAAAGCTGAGTTTTCTTAGCTCGGATTATTTTCACCTGACATCGTCTTCTACAGAATGGTCACCACCGGGAGATGGAGCTGACCGGAGATTACCGATGTCTGCCGACTCGTGACGGAAGGACGACTTTTGCCGAGAGTTAGTCGCCGACGACGTGGAGAGAAAAATGGTGTTAGAGGGATCTGCAACATGCCTGAAGTACCTTCTGTTCGCCTTCAATTTTATGTTTTGGGTGAGTTTTCTTCTTTATTGATTGTATCAGAGAAATGTAGCTTTAATGATTCTGTTTTGAACATGTGAGAAAACAGTGGTGTCTAGTGATACTCTTCCTTTAGGCAATGGTCTTTTTTGCTGGGAACATTATGTAATCTTTTTCGCCTTCAATTTTTATGTATTTGGTAAGTTTCTCCTTTATTTCTTGTATCGATGTATCGATGATCATTTTATTTCAAAACATTCTAACACAATTCAAGTGGTTACACGTTGGTCTGTGGGAGGGACCGTTGGTGTACAGCAAGAGATTTTCGTCTCTGGCAATGGCCTTTTTGGTGACAATATTATGAAATGTCTTTTGGAGAGAATGGCGAATCCAAAGGATTTTTCAGATGTTCGGAATGTATGTGCATTTGTCATTTAGATATGTCCAATTGTAACTTTATTTTAAGGTATTTTGATGTCTTGTAGGAGACGACGAGTCAAACTGTGGAACTTACATTTTGGCTGCTATTGAATCATATGCATATTTCTGATAGTTAATGCAACACAGGGCTCATGACAAGGCATTGTTCATACTGCAATATTCCACCTCATGACAGTGGTCACATTGCAATTGCATTATTCTATTTCATTATCCAATCTTCAAATTAATAAGAACATTGCTCACATTATCATGGTAACCTTGTCGCCATTCCTGAGCACGAGCCTTCTGTGGTTCATCCCCGGATTTCACAAATAGCGATCCCGTGTAGGAGCCGCCCCCGGGAGGCTCTGCTGATGGATGAGAAACAATCTTCATCTCCCCGTCCTGCAATATAACACGATCAGACGGGCCGAGTGATTAAATCAGTCCCAGGGATCTCTCGGGCTTTACACAAGTTGATTAGAGCGCGCCAGCTGGGGCCACGTTCGTACCCAGAACAGCAAAGTTGGCAGAAAACGGAGAGGATACACTTATTGAGGGATCTATCTGTCATTACGTGGTTATATTTGTGTCTGATATAATCCCATTCAAACCACTAACTCTTCTTCTGGAAGGACGTAATTTTCTTGCGTAATCATTTCCACACATGCAAATTTGTGACAAATGACAGAAGAAGAATATTCTTTGCGTCGTTTGGATCTGTAGCTGTACCGCGTTGTGATGCTTCAAGTGGTTTTGAAGTGATGATTCAAAGCTGAATTTCTTTATAGTCTGATATAATCCCATTCAAACCACTGACGTTCTATGTCTTCTTCTGGAAGCTAGGGCGTAATTTTCTTGCGTAATCATTTCCACACATGCACATTAGTGACAAATGACAGAAGAAGAACATTCTTTTTGCGTCGTTCGGATCTGTAGCTGTTCTTGAGGTGGTACCGCGCTGCTTCAGGTGGCTTTGAAGTGACGATTCAAAGCTTTAAATTTCTAAAGAACGTGGCAAGGTGGTCTTATGGTTAGGGTTGTTGACTCAGAATCCGAAGGTTCTGGGTTCGAATCCCTGGCAGGCCCCATTATTGACAGGTGTGCGTTAGGAAAGGCACTTAACAACTATCTCCTCGGTTGCCTCAGGTGAATCTGAGTACCAAGCTTCGGTTAGGGGCGTCCTCTCGAATAGGACGTACAGCACCATAAAGCAAGATCAAACCACATCAAAAATAGCATGGATCCTCCCAGGTATAAGTGGTTCAAAGATGATAGTCTAGTCTCAGGGTTGACAAGTTGATAGTTACCTGTTTTGTTAATCCTTCCACAAACGTGGCAATTCTTAATAAATAACAAATAACGTTGTGTCAAGCACTTATATTGCACAGCAGTTTGCAGTTTCCCCACGAACGCATTAAGCCACTACGAAATCTAACGTTACCAAATTGCGGTATTACCAAAATTGGTTCGTTTTCATCATGCACGGTGCTTTATGGTTTTACCTTAATGATATGGGTGCGTACTGCACTGACTACACACGCTGCTATTGGCCAGGCACATTTAATCGATGAGAAATATCAGTTATAAGCAAAACTATATATAAATCTATCTCACTGCTTCTATGCAATTTCTTTCCATAATCTAAAAAGCTACAGCTATATCGCTATATCGAGTTGGGGATCAGTGTTGATTTTATGAAATTGTGTAGGGCCGGACGACTGAATTTGTCCATAGTCTAAAAATTTCCAAAATCAAGCGTGGAATGTGTGCTGAAGTTTTGACCCCTACTAATTCATAAAATTAAAATTTTACAAACTTTAAGATTATCGTCGTCACTGCGTTTCATATGTACAGGAACGTGCGTCTTCAGGTTAAATTCACAATTCAAAATTCCTAAGAAGCCAGACAAATATTCATCCAAAATACCGATAAACGGCTTTAGTGTCCAGTCTTGGTCTTAAAGTAGATAAACCAAACGTTAATACAAGATTTATCTTTATCCCTTCCTGGCGCCGAGAACACGGTGCCGAGAAGCCTGGCTTATACATGCGGGGCGCTGCCCTGAATGATGGCGGATATATTTTCATTCAAAGCGGTAACGACTGTTCCTGACCCCGTGTCTTTTATTGAATGTTTTGCCTGACACGAGGGTCAACCGCCGTGTATCTATACACAATCACGCTGGACGGGCCATTGCCGCTGTATTGGACACGAGAGATGGGTTTCAATCAACCAACGAGCAGTCAGATTGTTTCAGTCGTGTTTTCATTTTCAATTTTGCTGGAACAAAAATGAGGTCAGCTTGATAATAGAATGATTTTACGGTTAGGCCACAGCACGTAATTTTTATGGATGACATCAGCGCGCGCATTAGTTTTTGCCTGATTTTGAAAAAAAAAACATCAAGAAATTGTTTTGCCCTCTGACGGTGGTCAACATGTCTAAAATGGGCAAATATGTTGTAAATGCCTATCGGTTCGGAAACCATCAGGAATCCAGCAAACATGAGGCACATTGGTTCGCGTTTGATCACAAATATTGACAGCTGACATGTTCCATCGCATCTCTTTTATTGCCCGCCTTCAAGATGCCTTTTTTCGCCCTTACGCATTAGATTCGGAGTCTGTGGAGGATGTTATCCATAAGATTTACTTGCTGTGGCCTTATGACTTAAAGGTTTATGATTTATTCACTGCACAAATTCGTATCTTTAAGCTCGCCTTTAAACATGCGTAAAGGTATACAGCTTTAAGATGCACGTAAAGAACAGATTTCATGCATTTTGTCAATGTCAAATTTGTTTTGTGGTGTGCATTGTTAAAATGAATTTGTCAACTAAAATTGAAGATAACTGTTCACTATTGCTTTATCATTTCCAAATGTAATGTTCTTGCAATGAGGTTTTGGGCATGGATATAATACAATATATTGTTTACATTATATTTTTTCTTAATTTTTTCTGTCACCCGAATCAGTTTATGTATCTGTATCGGTATACCCGGTATAACCGCCCTTCGGCGTAACACACCAGCTTTGCAGGCACGCGGCGCGGCGGCAGCGTGCTATATCACACCGAACGACCTGTTACACACAACTGTTTGACGCAAGCTTTCTAGTGATGATGGCCCAACTGTGCTTGGTAGTTCTGGGAAAATACCAGTTTTTGAACTCCTCAATTCTTGGGTAATAACACTGATATTTCAAGGCACGTCTGTTTCTTATTCTTTTCCGGGCTGGTATTAGATACTAGTACTTAATGGTTGGTACGTCCACCATTTTTAGTCATTTTGTACATCGTCTGGACATTTTTCGTCTGTCTTCCAGCGACACCCACTGTAGGTTTCTTTTCATTTCCGTTACACCACTAGCACCCCTTTCAGTATTCAGACCACACAAATCAGTTAAGTAGTAAAGTATCCCTGTGACCTCCAGGGCCGTCCGTCTTGCATGTTCCAATGTCGTAAAAGTCAGCGCAGGCTTAGTTTATTGAAAGTTCTCCGGTACCCGGCGTTCCCGGATCATAGCCATCTGGCGGGGTGATGATGTTTAAAGCCGGGGCTCGTCTGAGAACGGAAGAAGACCCATATCCATAGCTATAACTCTGGGTTGGAGATACTAGTAAAATGTATGAATAATTACATGTATACTGTTGCTGAAGGGTGACATGAGAATTAGGGTATACAACCATGACATTGGCTCAGTTTTAGACGTTTTCAGTTTCTTTGTACATACTTGAGATACGAGTAATAGCGAACGATATATCCAACAGTTTCCGTTAGCATCTGTCACCAGATACTAATAGTTTAACTGCTTGAAGCACTTTGGAATACAGATCAGAAGGTACGTACGTAGGTAGCTTCTTAACCTTCTCCCTGCTGCATAACACTGAAATTATTACAAATTTTGGGCCAAATAGCTGCCTTTTGGTGTCTGCAAAACAGCATCAACTAGAGTTCCCCGATCTCATACCTTCGCCAAATGATGTTAATCTTTATGACTGACAAATTATAGATTAGATTATTCCCCCCTGATTTAACAAATAGGATCCTAATTTTCATGAATCATATCATTTTATCATATTCTCAACCAAAAGACAATCTTAACAATGCCATTCTAGCATTTTCTCATAAATTATGCAAATGGAGCCCTGATTTGATTACATTATGTTTAATGATGGTCACCTTCACTTAACTTTCAATTACCACAAGTATGAAATTCCAGGCAGTTATCATTACATAATTATAAGATTTTCTCATTAATTATGCAAATTAAGTCCTCATTTCCATAATCAATATCTGTCTGTCTTTCTCTCGTTCTCAATTACCAATGTCACAAGCGTCAAAAGTCCAACTATGGAATGAAGCTGATTTATAGAATTTCTCTATAAATTATGCAAATTACATCCATATTTGCATAATTGTCAAATAATTATATCAAGCATCACGTAATCTATCTAGATACCAAAAATCACGACGATCCGTCCACCGGTTCTCGAGTTATATTGAGTTGAATATTTTCAAACATATAGTCCTGCAGTTCCAGAGCAAGCCGCTAGGGGGCCAAAACTCACGTCACTTCTTCCCCAGCACAAGAGCTACCTACCATCCAAATTCCGTCACCTTAGCATGTTTAGATCATGAGATATAAAAACCGGAAGTTCAGCTGCAGTACCATAACAAGCCGCCAGGGGGTCCAAAATCTAATCATTTTGAGGTCTCATCAAGACCTACCCACCTACCAAGTATCAAGACAATCCATCAAGGCCTTCTTAAGTTATCGTGTTGACAGACAGACACACACACACACACACACACACACACACACATACACGAAC